CATTCCAGAGGCTAAATTCTCAGCTCTGGGGTCAAAACCTCTGCAGAGGTCTTGGGTTAATACTGGGAAAAAATTGATGCCAGATCTTTGAGGAACCATTTATTAGTGGTTGCAAAACAGTGTGTGTGTGTGTGTGTGTGTGTGTGTGTGTGTGTGTGTGTGTGTGTGTGTGTGTGTGTGTGTGTGTGTGTGTGGAAAAGTATAAGATCTTTGAGGAACCATTTATTAGTGGTTGCAAAACAATGTGTGTGTGTGTGTGTGTGTGTGTAGACTTTTCTCCTAAGCTTATGGCTCAGTGAAAAGTATAAGTATACAGGTTTGGTGATGACCCCACTGTGCTCTCACAAATAAAGAAAAGAAAGGAGTATGTGAGGTGAAGGGAGAATAGAAATATATGAGACTGGGATCTCATATAGAAATATATGAGAAATCATGAATAAGAAGTTGTGGAGAACACTCATTGAATCTGGGGAGTCTGCCCAACTCACCAGACCCAGATGATCTTTACATATGCAGCCTGAACACAGGGCTCCTGGTAGCCCAGAAGAAAGGAGATGAAACCCACTGTTGAGAAGAGACAATGAGAGCCTCCATGGATGCAAACCTTTTGACCCAGCCCAAACCTTATGCTATAGCTTACCAAGAAGTCTTGCATTAGTATCCTCCTGATCTTTAAGATAAAATGATTTGGAGAAGAACCACGGGCTTTTCTGATAGGAAAATCTCAGCTGGATTCATAACTCAAGATTCAAAGATGAGTTTCAGGGTAATTGCTCTCAAGACAATGCAAAATTTTATGTGCATTTTTCTTTCAAAGAGGTTCAAGTCACCACAGATACAGAATGTTATAAAAAAGTAAAACATATTATGCTTTTCTTTTAAGCCTCTACTTAACTATTCAGCAGGCACCCTAGGAATTTACATTTCAAATATTTCCAAAAAGAAAATTAAGGAAGGTCCAAAGTTGGCAGCAATTTTAAGAATAAAATTTAAGAATGGCATGCTGGACTATTTACAATAGCCAAGAAATGGAAGCAACCTAAGTGTCCATCAGTAGGTGAATGGATAAAGAAGATGTGGTACGTATACACAATGGAATATTATTCAGCCATAAGAAGAAAACAAATTCTGCCATTTACAACAACATGGATGGAGCTAGAGAGTATTATGCTCAGTGAAATAAGCCAGGCAAAGAAAGACAAGTACCAAATGTTCATTCATCTGTGGAGTATAACAACAAAGCAAAAACTGAAGGAACAAAACAGCAGCAGACTCACAGAACCCAAGAATGGACTAACGGTTACCAAAGGGAAAGGGACTGGGAAGGGTGAGTGGGAAGGGAGGGAGAAGGGGGAAAAGGTGCATTATGATTAGCATACATAATTTAGGGGGCCACTGGGAAGGCAGTATAGCACAGAGAAGACAAGTAGTGACTCTATAGCATCTTACTATGCTGATGGACAGTGACTGTAATGGTGTGTGTGGGGGGGACTTGATAATGGGGGGAATCTAGTAACCACAATTTTGCTCATGTAAAACCTGAGCATAAGATTGTATATCAATGATACCTTAATAAAAAAAATTAAAAAATGAAAGAATGGCATGGCTGCTAATGCTGACTTTCACACTCTCCCTAAAACTCACGGAGACAGAAAAGATGTCACATATTAAGGGTGAGTACAACTGACCTGAGGTAGATTAATTCACACGGTAGCCCCTGAAATCAATTTCATGACTGTCAGTGATAAAAGAGGCAAGAGGAGAGCATGAAAGAACACCGACCTTGGAGTGCGGGGACTGGGAGTCTAGTCTCTTGTCCTCGCTTTACCTAATGCAATCTGTGGCTTTGTACAAGTCCTTCTGGGCTTGGGCCCTCATCTGTAAAATGCAAGCTACTGAAGCACAGCAGTGGTTTTGCAAATCATCCAGAATTCGTCAGAAGCTTCAAATTCTTCAGAACCCACAAATTCAAAATGGCAGGTTGAACATACGCATTTACCTCCATTCTGTCTAGAAACCCCATGAAGTTATTTTCATAAATACCTACTACTACTTACTGAACATTTACTACTACTGATTGCTTTAAGTGTATTAACTAATGGAATTCTTAACCCTCCTATTAGGTAGGTGATGATCCCCATTTTACTGATGAAGGATCTGAAATACCAGCATTTAAGGAACTTGCCCGAGTTTTCACAGCTAATAAATGGCAGAGCTAGAATTCAAGCCCAGGCCATCTGGCCCAAGTCTATGATAAAGTACCTCTCAGACTGGCAGTCACAGAACAGAAAAGGTCCCAAGGAAAAAGAAGTTGAAAGAGAGAGCAGATCAGAAATGCCACCAAATTTTGGAAGATGAAAAGCAGACAAATGAGTAGTAACTGACTTAGATGGAGAGTACTCAGAGCTGCAGATAGCAAGCCACAGCAGAAGACCGCCCCCACCCAAAACTCAACTCCTGGAGACACAGGTTCCATCTGATGGCGTGCGCATAAGGAAGGTTGAAAACAGGCAGTACCCATCCCCTCCCTGAGGCAAGCAGCTGCTCTGTCACCACCCCAGCAGAAGACTGGACAGGATGAACTAGAGACTGCAGACTTGGGTAACTAGGGCACCACTGATGACAGGAAGTGGCAGCATTCAGGGGGATTAAGTGGAAGTCTGCATACATAAGTCAGAGCCTCCAGTCCCCTCCCCCCATAAGGCTCTGAGAATGATAACAGCCAGGCTTACTCCACCTAAGCAGAAACCTGAAGATTCATGGACTGTGAATATATCTCATTGGAAAGAACAGGTCCATCACCCTACAGCTGTGGCTCAGAATGGTGCCCAACACCAGGAGCAGCATCACTGGAGACCTTGACAGCAATGTAAATTCTCTGGCCCGTGCCAGACCCTAACAAGGGCAGTAAGAAATTCTGGGGTGAGGCCCAACAACGAGTGTTTAAACAAGGCCTCCAGGTGATTCTAATGCCCACAGAAGTTTGAGAACCACTGCCCTACAAGGAAGCCCAGTTGTCAATAAACCCATTACACACCAATAAGTTTCCAACCAGCTTTCCACGCCTGTTTATTTGGAAGACAGTCTGGAATCACTGGAACTTTCAGGACAGACTCTAAAACAGACTTCAGAGAGCAGCTTTGCTGGAAGGAGCGAAATGAAGCGGAGCTTGGTTTGCTTGGTCTCTCCCTGGCTCCCACCATTGCACTACCACTGAGCTACTCTGCAGGCTCCAGAGACTGGTCAGACAACCAATGAAGCAGATGCTCAGTCCTGTCCAACATTGGCTTGTGCCTTTATACTGATCCTGATGTCCCAGATCCTTGAAACTAATACAGCAGTTTAGACTGACTGACTCAGTTGGCACTACCTCTGATAATTTACTTGTCCCTTTGAATGAACAAAAAGTTTAATGGAAAAATCATACCATTTTTAAACGGAAGGCATTCTATATTCTGTATTTGCATTAAACACAGAGGCAAAACGCACTGCTTTATGTGGAAGTATGTGTGAGCATCCCACTCCATCAAGCCCTTTTTGCTTCTCTGTGATTTTACAAGCTTTCCCTGGCTAAACTCTCACAGCCCAAATCTTAATCCAAAAATTCTCCCCTATCACTGCTTTTCACCAATTTCTACTCATCCCAAGTGTTACTGCCACAACCAGACCATTCTTTTGCTTACAAATCTCTTGTAGCCTAAAAATCTTCTACCATGTAAATACCATGGGTAAAAACCTCTCATTGGTATTTACTTCCTCTGCCTCCTTTAGTCCAGCTCATTTTTCTCAAACCACTTGGTTTCCTGCTAAAGGTCCTTTTCCCCCTCAGGCCAATTGACTCCCCTCCTGGAAATCTAATCTCGATCAGGAGGGGTTTAGAGCAATGAAAAACTTATGCCAGGCATTATGCAAAGAATACCACAAATATTCTCATGTAGCCTCACAGTAATACTGAGAATTAGGAATCATCTTTATATTTACATTTGGAAAACTGATACTTAGAGAGATTAGGTAACTTGTCCAAGGTTACAACAAGGATTTTTATCCAAGTCCTTCTATCTATCTCCAAAGCCACACTCTCTTAACCATTCTACTGTCTCAAATATGAGGAAGAAAAAATTCCTTAACCCTGTAGCAAATAAGAAAAGCAGAAAGATCTCTGCATAGTTTTTGTTTGTTTGTTTTTTTAACAGGGTCGTCCACAGATGCTGAGAGCCTTCCAGCCAAAGCCCAAAAGGGAAAAGAAGGCTTGCAGCATCTGCCCACCTGGAGGGTTCCACATGGCTCAGCAGCTTGGCCAAGGAGCAGCGCAGCATGCCTTTCCAGCAGGAATGGATGCAAAGCACAGGAGGAGGGCTGGCTCTCGCGCCTAGAATGCCAGTAGGGAACAGGTGGTTAAGAGACCCCTCTTACCCACGCAGCCCATCAGTCCATTCTCCGAGACCTTTATGGAGGTGATGTGCCTTCCACTGTGGAAGTAGATGCCCACCTCAAAAGATTTCTAGATTCGAATTTAAAAGCTCTTAAGAGATAAGGTGGTAACCTATCAAGGGCAAGCAATGACTCCTAAGGAGATGCTTCCGCCTCTACAACAGCACAGCTAACTTTGAGGGGCACGGATAAGTGACTATGGGACAAGAGAAGGTGCTTTAGTGGTGCCCATCAGAATGTAGAGACGGCCATCGCCCCTTCCTCCTTAGTGGGGCTTTAAGTCCGTATTCTCTTGTATATGTGCCAGAAAGAGGCGGACATCCCAGTGTCTCCCACTACGAGGGCCTCAGCAGCGGACCTCTCACCCTGTACCTCTCCGGGCTGAGAGGCTGTCCCTGTCCGACTGCCCGCTCAGCCCCAGTCTCCCTCTCCACCTCTCCCCACTAGTCAGTCTCGGCCCACCTGCTTTCTCCACCTCTGCCCGCTGGACCCCTCTTCTGTCCCCCGCCCCTCTTTCCTCCCCACTCGATCCCTTTTCCTTCAGCCCCGCGCCGCCCAGCCCTCGGTACCTTGAGCGTCACGTCGCACAGCTTGCCCTGCCGCCGGATCTCCTCCATGACGCCGTAGCCGCGACTTGGCAACTCGGACACCGAGAAGTGCACCAAGTCCTCTAGCTCCTCCACGCCGTCCTCCACCATCTTCCCCGGCCGCCGCGACTGCGCAGACCTGGCCGGCCCGCTTGAAACTAAGCAGGGCGGGGCGTGGGCGCGCGCCGACCGCCGCTGGGAGCCCGGGAGGAACGCAGACGAGCCTGCGCGGCCGCCGTAGTATTCAGACTGCTCTGCGCCGGAAGCCTTGCTGCTCCGCTTCCCTGTTCTCGTGCAGCCTTCTTCTCCTCCCTATCCCGACCCTGGCTTCGCCCCTGCCGCTGCCACAGTCTTCCTAGATTAATCGGCCCCATCTCCCTTCCCGATTCGGCCCCGACCTTACTCGTGTCTCAACAAGGGACCGCGGACTTTATTTCCGTCACCTCATTGATACTTCCGGAATTTACGGCCGCAGCCATTGCCATGGCAACCGTGTACACAGCCCGGAACCCCTGTGCAAAGGTTTTCGGTGGCTGCCGTTGCAGCGGTTGCGCTGCGGGAGGAGGGCCGCTGGATCTGGACCGCTGAGCAGGGACCCGCGCCGCCAGGGTGAGGAGAAGGGAGGCCGAAGAGCGGGTGTACTCCCGGGCGGTGGGCAGCAGCTGGGATCGTACAGCACTGTATGCGGGAGATCCTCTGCTTTGCTCGCTGACCTGTGAAACCCGGGCGGCAGAGGGCGCGGCATCGCGGGGAGCCCTTTCAGCCTGGCTGCGGCTTGGGGTCCTGAACTAACGTTCCCTGGCTCCACGAGAGTCCTACATCAAATCTGAGGTTCAGAAGGCTCGAGGCGGAGGGCCAAAGGTATTCTGGACTTTTGTGTATTCGTCGGTTTTCGAACTGGAGGATTGGGTTCGCCAGTCCCAGCTTTTCGCTTTACAGATAAGAACCCGCTACAGAGAGGTTTCCTCAGAAACCTCAGAAACAGAAAGGGCCCAAGGCCGCTCTGTCCTAGACTCCACGCATGGGTCCGGCATGTTAGGTGAAAAAATGAGGAAGGCCCGTTCGCCCGACCCTGAGTCTTTTGTTTAGCGCAAGGCAGCGTGCGTTTGGACCCTGATTTTTTTTGGTTCAGATGCTGCTGCTGCCGCTCTGGTAGCTATGAGGAGTCCTTGTGCAGGCCCAGTGCTGGAAAATAGGGACCCAGCCTGATACTTGCCGTTTCTGCAGACGCTCCCTCTCCTTTTATCGAAACTTTAGGAGTGCTTTTGGCTATTCTGGTTATTCCCACCCCTGAAACAAACGAAACAGCGAGTCTCTTGAGGGGCGTTGCCTGGTGGACACTTAGAGATTCACTTATATACACCAGAAATATCTAAGGGAGGTGACCTGAGAGGGGTATTGCTACAAGATCCTGAGCGAGAAGGACGCTACTAAAAGGGAAGGCATAGTGAGGGGCTGAACATGGCTTCTTGCAAGTGGTGCCTGGAAACCAAGTGTCCTCCTGGGAGAGCTGTGGGCCCAGAGGTTGGGGGCGGTGTGGCAGAGGAGTGACATCATATGCGCCTTGGGACTCTCTCAGTAGTGACTGAAGATGGACCCACATATGGAGATTCAGCCACCCTCTGACTTCCAGCCATGCTCATCACCACCAGCTGCCATTTCTTGAGCACCTGCTCTGTGCTGGGCACCGTTTTGGACATTGAGGGGGGATTCAAAAGAGATAAAAGGCACAGTTCTATTCTTCAAGCAACTTGCAATTTAATTTGGGAGCTGAAACCCACTCAAATGATGCAGCGTAAGAATGGTAACAAGCATTTTTTCAGTAAGTGCAAGATGGCATGGGGGTCCCCAAAAGTTTGGGTGTTGAGGGGATGATGAATAACAGACTCACAGGAGGGGTCTGGTTAATAGATACGGTTTGCCTCAGGTGATGTGGCTCCTGGCATGCCTGGAGCCATGGGTGTGAGCATAGGGAGGGCCTTGGGTAACAGCGATAGGGTGACTGCATGTGCATGTCCATGTTGGCAAATTGCAAGGCAGAGAAGGGGCAGGCTCTGATGGGAGGGTGATGCTTGCAGCTGGCCTCTGCTGCCCTGGTGCTGTCAGTGAGTGGGGACTTTGGGGCATCTACCCGCAGAGCTGCCCTACTTCTTCATGGCCCTTTCAGGGGGCACCCTGGGTAGCATCTTAACTTCCCTGGGCAGGATGATGGGCCTTTGGACTGGTGTGGAGAATGTTTCCCAGAGCTTCAGAGATTTAGGGTAAATGCTTGAGTCAAAAACCACCTCCCTCCACTCTCAACCACTAGATCAAAGTGAGCTTGGAGATGAGATGGTCTCTTCAGTTTTCTCAATTTGAGAGTCATGTTAGAGGTATCTGGCTTTTTACTTCTAGAGCTCAGTTTTACAGACAAAAATTTTAGGACCAAAATTGGACAAGCCATTATTCTTGCTCACCTGAATGCCTTTGAAATTCATTTTCTAAAAATTTAAAGGTCTCAATAATCCCTGAGTGGCTGGGAAAAAAACTTCTATGAAATATTTACTTGAGGAATTTAGGAAGTGGACATGCACTTTACAATAGGCAAATATGAAAGTAATATGTTTGCGTATTTGATTTCACGTCTGAAGGACTTGTAACAGGTTAGAGTTTTGAAACTGTAAACTGAAAGGACGGACCTGTTTCTATTTAACTTGCTTCTGCAGAGATACTTAATGCTACTTGATAATATAATTGTAGTTAATATATTACTATAATTGTAAGAGGAAATCTAGTGGTCACCATAAGTTGGGTCTAGAAATGTGGAGGGACATTAATATTTTAAAAACCTGCAATCGTTGTTCTCAAGTAATACTCATTGAAGGTCTCTTAAGATAACACATATAAAATGTTAATATTATTTAGTGTGCTTTTTTAAAAAGTGAAATCATTAACCATGATTAAAAGAAAAAATACCTGTCATGCATGACTCTTTCTTTATAGTAAAGATCTTGAAAATTAGTTTTTTAAAACTGCTAAACATCATATTGTTAGAGTGCTTTGTAGCAGTGTAAGCAAGCTATTTTTTCCTTAATAACTGTATTGATGTTGCTGTTACCCAATTTGAAGATGAAATTTAGCCAGCTGCCTATGCCTCACGTTTCCCTAACTCTTCATAAATTCAGCAAATTCGTTTGGTGGTTGTCTTTTTTCACAAGTGTCCAGGGGTTTTCTTTAGCCTCAACTACTCTATCCTGCTTCATGAACTGAAAGACTATCTTAGGATCAAATGCCTCCTTTCTCAGTGACTGCTCTAACCTGACAGGGAGGTCAAAAGAGAAGCGTGTGATGCAGCACACATCCTGACCTTCAGGCCTTGTCTCTCTTCCAAGTCTTTTTTGTACATTGTAGAATATTAACTTTAATGTGTTTTCTAATTTAATTTATTTATATTCATGGTTCTGTAAAAGTAGATTTATTGAAATTTGAGGGCCCAACTTACGACTACATGACCATAAACTACTTGATGATGTTCAAATTATTTTTTGAGAAGAAAAGAAAAAAAATACAGTGATCTTAGAAAAATTTGTAAGATCAGAAATGTTTCATCTTGGAAAAATTTTAAATTGTACTATGTTAATTTTCCAAGCAGTTTTGAACAATGAAGTTACTTAGTACATTTTCATAGACCTTTATCTTGTTTTCAAGTATTACTTAGCTAGATTTAACACAATTGATGATGATTACAGATAGATTTTTACTTAGATTTCCTTAGAGCTCTTGATGTTTTCTCTCAATATTTAATTCTTTGTTAACAGTGTATAAGAGGCACCTGAAGAATTAAGTTTTAAGTTAATAAAAATAAAAATACAACAATAAAAATAGAACAAATAATATTTCTACTTAGTAACTATCTTATGCACTCTGTGTCAGTGCTAGAACCAAAACCTGTCTAATTAGTATTAAAATGTAATACTAGAGTGCCTAGTGTGATTTGACCAATGAGACTAACATCTAATAAAATACGAGATTTGTTAGTTATCATTTGGAGTGTTGTACAATTAAGTTTTTTAAAAATTTTGTAAAATAACTTGAGTTGAACAGAATCTTAGAGGTTAACTAACTCTCCCCTCAATGCAATAATCGTTTTGTACCACCTCTGCTAGTTGGCATCTTGACTGCATGGCTGTTTGTGGTGTTGATGGCCTTTACCTTGAGGAAGTCTTTTCCATTACAGGATAATTCTACACAATTGGAAGGTCATTTACCTAAATCTGCCTCCCTATCACTTATATCTATAAGATCTCAACCTATTCCATGAAGCCACATCAAATGTTTAACATTTTATTATACGTGGTAATTATTTGTGATAGTATAAATGAAGAAATACAAATATATGTGTATCTTCCTGAAAGAAAGTGATGAGAATACAGTCAGGTTTTAGGAGAGGAAGAGGAGGTAGGAGACTGTCTATAACTTTTCTCTCAATGGAATGCCAGAGAAGAAAGAGTATTTGATTATGGGCTAGATTATATTTACTTCTAGAGAATTATTTTCTGATCTCAGTCTAAAGGAAGTAGAGGAGGACGTGCTTTATCTGAAGTAAGGTATGTTAGTGAAGAAAAGAAATTAGTTTTAATGTATCTCATAGTAAGCACTTTAGAGCAAAGTGTGATGAGTGAGGCAAAGTGTAGTGGGCTAAGATATAGAACATTTCGAGAAACCACATCTAAGGTCATTCAAGAGACCATTCTTTTTGCTTCGTATTTCAGTTTCTGAGGGGCTCATTGGTGGAAAATGGTGAGGCAACCTGTAAAGTAGGAAGAAGGCATACTTGCTGAGCAGTGTCCTGTGGGTGGAGCCCTGAAACGCTAAGGGGTGCAAAGGAAGACTGTCTCGCAGTGGGACAGGAAAACGTGGGCTGCACATCCCTCTTTTCTGATCTTCTTAATGAATGACCCCTCCCTTCTGGTTGTTTGATGACTACTGAAAATGTTACTGTTTTCTTCTTTTTAGCTCGAATGGGTACTAGGAAAAAAGTTCATGCATTTGTCCGTGTAAAACCCACTGATGACTTTGCTCATGAAGCCATCAAATATGGAGATGACAATAAGGTAAGTGCACTTCATTTTTCTTCACATGCCTGGGCTTCTCTCTGTCCACCTCAGTGCAGTGACCTGTTCTTTTAAGGACCAAGGCATAATCAGTGAAAGTTCAGATGGACATTAGAGTCCATCAGATTCAAACCACTCCCCCACAATGCTGTGGATAAGGAAACTCAAGAAACTCCCATTTTTAATTGTCTTTTGGTTAGTAAGTTTGCCCTTATCCTCGTGTCTAACACAGAAAAGCTGATGTTTGTTCATTTTCATGTAAAACTTTCTGGTGATCAGATCTGCTGTTACGTAATCTCTCAGGAGCTACAATCAGAATGTCTTAAGTTGATTACTGTTAAACTTACTGAAGCAGTAGGGGAAACTGTAATTGAGAAAACTGGAAAGGTTTCCATCTCCATGTCCTCACCACTGTCCTCTGAGAACCTTTCTGAAGCCTGTGACAGGCTTAGGACAGCTTGAGAGTGTTAGACATTTTCATTCAGCAAACATTTGTGCATCTACTATGGGCAGCATTGAGAAGACTTCAAGGGCCAACTGCTCAAACTTCAAAGGTCTGTAACTCAGAAAAGAGCTCTCACATGCAGCCCTTCAGAGTGCATCCTGCTGGACATAGTTTCAGAGAACATGGGTGTAGAGAGCATTTAATGTATAAATGACCAAGCCTCTTCCTCTTGATCTTAGTTTTCCTGTGTGTGCCCATGTCTTGGCTCCTGGATTAGGGTAGCAGTTTAAGATACCAACAAGAGTCTCCACTGCAAAGATTGGAATCTACCATTGACCTAACCCAATTAGTTCTTAAACCTACCTACTGCCACAGTGGCTTGCTATGGAAGGATCTAAAAATCTAAAAAATTATTTTAGAAATCTTTATATCTGAAAATCTGTTGATTACAAGTAGGTAGGCACCCTTGATTTACTCAGATACCAGTGAGTGACTCTCTGAGAAGTCCAGGATCTTTTCTGTGGTGCTTATTTCATTTTCCACATTGGCCTGTAGTGCATGTGTAGGAGCAGGTGCTGACCACAGTGCTTGAGAGGCCTCAGCGCCAGTAACCGGGGAGATGGGGCTCAAGCCCAGGCCCCTGTCACCAAGCCCACTGTTCTCTCTCGCCTGATTCAAGGCCTCTCTGTGCTTATTGAATGTGTATAAAGCTTGTTTCATAAGAACATGATAAATACACTTGACTCTACATCATAGTTGGGGAACCAAGACAGACAGCACCCTGTAAACCAGAGTGAGATGTACTGAAGCTAGTAAGTGCTTCACTCGCCAGATTCTTCTATCTCAAGGGTCTTGTGGCCTTCCTGCAGGAGCTTCCTTCTTCAATCCCAAAGAAATCATCTTAATGTCAGCCCATATGTGGCAGTCCCTGTTTTTCCTAAAGTTCGCTTCCTCTATTTCCTCCATGTCAAGTCAAGCTTCAGCTATCAGTGATTTTTTTTTTACACCAGTTTCCTACCAAATAACTCCCCCACCCCTCACCCCCTTCACCACTCCCCCTTTCTCTCTCTCTTTTCCTAGAGCATTGATATTCACTTAAAAAAAGATACTCGAAGAGGAGTCGTCAATAACCAACAGACAGGTTGGTCTTTCAAACTGGATGGAATTCTTCATGATGCATCCCAGGACTTGGTTTATGAGACAGTTGCGAAGGATCTGGTTTCTCAGGCCCTTGATGGATATAATGGTAATTTAGTTAATTAACTGTTGTTTTACATAAGAACCTACAGAACTCCTCCTGGAGGAAAAGATGCAAGTATTTTATGGAGAATAAATTAAAATATAACCTCACATACTAACTTTTCTTTGCTTATTTTTCTGTCTCCATGTTCATATAGTGGAAAAGTTACTATTTGCTTGGTGACATTGTGGGCATGGCTTGATCCATTGTCCTGGAAACCTACCTTCATAGGAAGATTAAATGATTCTGGCTCTCTGTAGATCATGGGGATTCAACTATTACCCTGTTTCACATCTTTCAAATACTAGTTTTGAAGATAATGTCCTTCTAAATTTGATGGAGTCCAAAAATTTTTCTTGGCTACCTGATGATAGGAGCTATTTCCATTCATTCTACCAGCACAGTCTATTGTTCATATTCTAGTATAGGATTATCTACATATATTACTAAAATCTAGAGCAGAGTTTGGTTTTCTTAATAAATTTAAAGCAGCTTCATTGGGGAATGTTTATAAACTTGTTCAGTCCAAGACCTTACAAAAAGATTTTAAAACCTTTAGAAAGAATATATCACAGTTTGTAAACTTTGCCCATTCGGTAGCTGCTAACTAGAATGTTCTCTGCTTGCAAGTTTTAAGTCTTCTGTGTAAGAATCTTTTTGAGTGTAGATGCTCAAACATTGTCAGGTATCCTGCATGTGATCCATATAGGTGTGGTTCTCATTGACCCTAAGGGGATGTGGCCCTGAGACAGGAAGTAAGGCCCTAAGAGGTTGAGAGTCTTGGGCCCTGGTTGCTGTAGAACCACAATGGGGCTCTGAGTCCTAGCTGAAGTGACTCCTTTCTACAATTTGTGTTGAGTTAATAGACACTGTTTCTGACTCCAGCTCAGATGCTGAATTGGAGCCCCCATGTACAAACCCTACTAATTCCAGGAACTAGAGCATATGCGTGGCAAAGGCAAACACTGATTTCCATGGCCCAGTGTTGCCCTGGCAGGTCTGCTGTGTAAATGCCCAGAAGCAGCCTTTGGGATGGGGTCTGGCTCAGACTGTCCAAGCCAGGAGGAAGAGCAGATGGGAACTAAAGCTCAGGGTGATGAACTGGTTAGTGCCCCAGAGCCTGGTGGTGATGGTAGACATCAGGTATGTGAGAGGTGCAAGTGAAAGTCTTCCCAGAGGGGGCAGTGGGACCAGATCAAAACGTGTCATGGTGGTCTGTCACTTGAAGTGGCATGGGACCCTGTTTGGTCCTGCGGGAACTTGCCTCTACAAAGAATTCACACCATTAACAGGAAATGCCCTTTCTGTTCCCATCACTTCCTGTGGATTTTTGCCTCCTGCCTGACCAGCACTGCAGCGGGTCCTAGCTGTTGGCATGGCAGTTCATGGCCTTGCTAAATAAAGCCTGGAGTTCAATGCTGTTATCCCCCTCCTCGTCATTCTAGGAATATCCCTAGTTCCTCTGTTCCCTGGAATTCCCTGCTCTGCTCAGAAACCCTAGGGCTAGATCTTCTGGTTGAGGGAGCAGTAGAGTACCTGGGCCACAGATTCAGAGGAGCTGCTTTTTTTTGACCATTTATGTCCCTGTTACCCTGCCCATCCACCCTCTATGGCAGGAACTCCTGATGTCCTTGGCTCCCAGTGGCCACCATCATGCGGGGGTCCTGGCTGGCACCAGGCATGCTCGGGGATGGGATACCTGACCTTGGAGAAATTGTCCTGCTTGTCACCAAGATGTGTTTTGAAATATTTGCAGGCACCATCATGTGTTACGGGCAGACGGGAGCTGGCAAGACATATACAATGACAGGGGCAATCGAGAATTACAAGCACCGGGGCATCATCCCTCGTGCCATACAGCAGGTAGAGAGTGGGCCCATGGGTGGGAAGCCATGCAGAACCCCTCTCTCTGCCATAGATGCTGCTGGTCCCAGGCCAGCTACTGGAGACAGTGGGGTCCAGACATCAAAGGATGTGCATCTGGCAGGGAAGATGGGACACATGGTGGGAGGGAGTGCAGAGGCCTCAGGAAGCTGGAAGTTTGAGTTTGAGGCTCTGACCCATGCCCGTGCTGAGGCTATTTCCTCATTTGTGCGAGAGGGAGTTAGAAATGCTGGCTGGCTACTTGCTACACCAATGGTCTATGATCCTATAATTGAGGATTAAGTTCCTTCTGTTTTAATGAGGGGGATATGGACCCTTGCAGAGCTTCCTTACTGGCCTACTTTGGCTTCTTCCATCACCACAGCCCCAGAAAGAGCAAAGGGAAGAATCAGTGCACTACATAAACTTTCAGGACTGCGTCAGCCCTAGGTGTCTGTGAAGTGTGACTGGAGACAGGACAGAAGGGCCTTCCTCTAGGCTCTGCTAGCCTGTGGGTAGGTTCTGTGAGGACCCTCTGTTTGGAGGTAGGAGGCAAAGGGCTTTTCCCCAAAAGCATCTTGAGGTTTGATAACCCTGTCCTGTAAGAAATACAGATATCCCTCTCAAGTATAAAACACCCATGCTTTAATTTTTGAAGCAATATCCTTAATATTCCACTGTCAAAGTTTCAGTATCTCAGTGTCTTAGACTTTAGCAATTTAGCCCACTACTGCCCATTAGAAATATAATGTATTATATGCCACATATGCAATTTTGAGGCTAGTAGCTACAATTTAAAAAGTAAAACAGATTAAATGAATTTTTAAAATATATTTTATCTAATTCAATATATCCAAAACACCATTTTGAAATGTAGTCAGTATGAAAGTTACTGAGATATTTTACGTCCTTTTTCTCATACTAATTCTTTGAAATCCAGTGTGTATTTTACACTTATAGCACATTTCAATTTAGACACTAGATATTCACCAGATTTAGATTTAGATTTCATAAAATTTACAGTTGGAAAAATCGATTTATAAACTTAAGTTGTTCCAAATATTCTTAAAAGTTTAGCAATAACTAAATCTAGTATCAGTTTAATTTAAATTTTAAGTAAGTTAAATTGAAATAGAAAATTCAGTTCCTCATTTGCACTAGCCACATTTCAAGTGCTCGGCAGCCACCTGTGGCTCCCGTCAATCACACTGAACAGCACAGATCTGGACTGACTGAACAAAGCAGGACCTCGCCAATCATCCAGCCCGACTTCCCATTTGACGGTTAAGAGAATTCAGGTCCCGAGAGGGGAGAAGCCTAAGACAAAGTCACCTGCTAAGTCCTGGGGGAGGATATTAAGGGTTGAGACGGCTGAGTTCTGGCTGGTTTCTCCCCTTACTAGGTAAATGACCATAGACAAATAATTTTGTTGCAAGGAGCTTTCCACAGATGGGTATTGCCCCTGCTCTGCTTCATTCAAAGTTAATACTTCAAAGAGGGTTATGAGGATAGAATTAAAAAATGAATGTGAAAATGTATGGTGAGATTCCATAAAATAAGAGATTGTCACTCCAGAGTTTTCATTCATCATGCTTCTACTTCTTGATGTTATATAAATATTAGCCAGTCTGTAAGTCAGACCTCAAAAAACTACAAAATAATGATGAATATATCAGGATGAACTAATAATAATAATAATAATAATAATAATAATAATTGTTGATGACCATCACACCAACTAGACTAAATTCTTATAAGGCAGAGGTTTTCTTGATGTCCCTTCCTGAGGTAGGAACATCGCTAAGACTAGCTAGAGTTCCGTTTTTGGTAACTGCTGTCCAATCTCCCATCTAGGTTTTTAGGATGATTGAAGAACGCCCCACACATGCCATCACTGTGCGTGTTTCCTACCTGGAAATTTATAATGAAAGCCTGTTTGATCTCCTGTCTACTCTGCCCTCTGCTGGACCATCAGTCACACCAATGACCATTGTGGAAAACCCTCAAGGGGTTTTCATTAAGGGCTTGTCAGTCCACCTCACGAGTGAGGAAGAGGATGCATTTAGCCTCTTTTTTGAGGTGAGATAATCAGGTATAAGGGTTCCTTCCTTCCACCCACCCTTCCTCCCTCCTCAGTTTTTTACTTACTTTAATAACCAGAATGAAAACTAACATGTGCTCATTTAGCAAATTCAGATAGTAATGAAAAATATTGGAACAAAGAAAGAATTCACTCATCTGTTTTCTATGTAAACAACAATAATATATATTTTGGCTTATTTCCTTCCAGTCTTTATTCCCATGCATTGTTTCTTTACATAGTTAGAATTGTCCTTTTTTCCAGTTAACTTTAAGTCACAGGCATTTGTGGTATTAAAAAAAATAAGGATTAACATGCTTAGTATACAAGTTCTTACGAACTGATAAAAAAAATTCCCCAATGGAAGTTATTCTTTTAAAAGCATACATATTGGAACTCTTATATATTGCTGGTGAAATATAAAATGGTGCAATCATTTTGTCATTTTCCTAAAAAGTTAAATATTAATTTTATCATAGGATCTAGCAATTTTACTCCTAGGTATCCACCAAAGAAAAAGGAAAGCATATGGGCACACAAAGACTTATAGGCAAATATTTATAGCAGCATTATTCATAATAGCTAAAGACTGGAAATACGCAGCATTTTATGGCATTGTATGTCACCAAACCCTTTTTTGAAGCCGTATGGAAATCCTCAGGGGTGATTTAAATCTGGATCCCATGCATCTTCAGGAAAGAAAGAGCCTCCCAAGAGGTAGCAATGGGGCACCCTTGCCTTTTTGTTGCTCCTAAAATTTCACCATGAAGAGTGCTATTTGCTGTAGGTTTCTGGTACCTTATGACTAAAGAAGGTCCAAGTTTGTGAAAAGTTCTTATCACAAATAAATATTTATTTATAACCTTAGAAATAAGCACTCCCCTGACTTGTATGTTCATTTCCTTCATCATCTTTTGAATTTTACCACCTATGTTCATCAAATAGCACAGTTTAATTTTTTTTGAAATTTATATAAAAGGAATCATGTAGGATGAATTATCTTATTTGTTTTAACTTCTACCTATTTTATGCAAAATTATTTGTTCTTGCTGTATGTTTTTCATTTTTATCATGGTATTACATGATGTGAATATACTACAATTTAGTTATCCATTCTACACTGATGACATTTTCCTAGTTTGGGAGTATTTCACACAATGCCAATAAGAATGTTCTTGTGTGTATACCTGGTATGCATGAGTATAACTTTCTCTAGATAAAGCCAAGGACTGTGACTGCTGGATCATAGATTATGTGTGTCTTAAGCTTTCTTAGATGATGACAACTATTTTCTGTAGTGGTATACTTCCACAGCAGGTGATCAGAATATCCATTATCCTGACCTTAAAATTTTGACCAGTCTGGCTGGTACACAGTATTTCCCACTGTGGTCTTGGTTTACATCCCTGATTACCAATGAGATTAAAGATCTTTTCACTTGTTTATTGACCATTTGAATATCCCTGTTCATGTCTTTTGTTTATCTCCTTTACAGGTGTCTTTTTTTCTCTTACTTATTGTATAAATTATTGATACATTCTGAAAAAGAGTTCTTTTTTAGTTATGTGTATTGCAAATATCTTCTATTTCCTGTGGCTTGCTTTTTTCCCTCTTCCTGTGTTATTTGATGAACAAAATTTTTAATTTTAGGTTAGTTGAGTGTGTATAAACTTCCTGTTTAGGCTATTTGTGTAAAGAGCATGTAAGGATTTTAAAAAATCTGAACTTTTGAAGCCATCTGAGCTTTTTTTTGAGAGGTTTTTGATTATAGATTGAATCTCCTTATAATAATTGGTCTGTTCATATTTTCTATATCTGAGCTTTTTTTTGAGAGGTTTTTGATTATAGATTGAATCTCCTTATAATAATTGGTCTGTTCATATTTTCTATTTCATAATGATTCAGTCTTGATACTCTGACAGTCTTTATCTTTTAAATCATTTCACACCATGTGCACTTGAAGTACTTATGTATTTGGGTTAGATTATTCCTAGGTATTTGATTTGATTTGATTTGATTTGATTTGATGCAATTATAAATGGGATTGTTTTTCTTTGATTTGATTTGATGCAATTGTAAATGGGATTGTTTTTCTTAATTTCACTTTCATCTTCAGTTGACTTCAATCCTTTTTAATATATGCACTCAATGGTATAAATTTCCCTCTGAACACCACTTTTGCTGCATCCCACAAATTTTGATAAGTCATGTTTTCATTTTTTATGTCATTCAAAATATTCTTGAGATTTCATTTTTTGACTCATGTTATAAAAAAGTATATTGTTTAATCGCCACATATTTGGGGATTTTCCAGTTGTATTTCTGTTACTGATTTCTAGTTTAATTCCACTGTGGCTTCAAGCAGACATTGTCTGATTCTTCTTAAGTTTTTTCAGGTGTGTTTTTGCCCCCGAATATTGTCTGTCATGATGAATGTTCCACGTGAGCTTGAGAAGAATGCATGTGCTGCTGGTACCGCCTTGTGATTTTTTTTTTTTTTGAGAGCTGGATGTAAAGTCCTGGGTGAAAGGAACTGGGTGAAAGGGTTCCATGGATGTTTCTGCTACAATACACTGATTCTCTATCTCTGCTTCCCTGTCCCTCCAGTTTTTGGGTAGTGATTTGCCCTGTAACCTCACTTCTCTTACAGATTTAAGAAGGGTTGTTGGTTTTTCACTGTATTGAGCTTTTTGTTTGTTTAGATGAAGTGATGACTTCCTAGATTCTTACATGTGAACCCAAAACCAGAACAGTAATCTCTTTAGATTTATTTTCTAGTTTCCTGGTTCTCTCTTCTGCAGAGTACAGGGTGTCAAGTCCAAAACTGAAGAGTCTCTCCCATATTTATATTTGCATGTGCACACACACACACACACACACACACACACACACACACACACACACACACACCGTGCCTCTGAATCAGAAATCAGACCTCTATTACTCAGAGCCTCACAATGGTAATAATGGCTATAGTAATACTGTAGCAGTTTCCTACACCCCACTGCCCCATAGAGCAACACAGTGAGGGTGGATGTCACATGTATTTAGAAAGGCGAGGAGAGTCTACGGTATGGAGAGAAATTCCAAAGCTATGAATCTCAGAATTTATACATTTATTCTTCTCTGTGGGTATAGAGATTTTAGGGTTGCAGTTAGGCACAGAAAGGGAAAATGAGAGACAGCATTGTTTTATTTTGAAATGTAAACAAATCCTGTCTTGGGAAAGGAGAGGAACATCTCTATCCTGGAATTTAAGCATTTTGCTTTGAGGAAAAAGAAACCTTTATGGGAATAGATGGCTTGGGTACAGGGACAGGGAGCAGAAGGAGTTGGAGGAGGAGACAAGTGGTTTAGAGTGCGAAGAGCAAATGGCTCTAGTGGAAAAAGAAGATATTTTCTATCTTTATAACACATCTGTTTCATTGCTCAGAGAAATACCAAGAACTCCAACAAGGACTGCCTTATAGCAGCCAGTCTTCAGGTGTGCTAAGCGTAGTGAGAGCATTAGTTCTTGCTTAGTTCCTGGATTCCTGCTCCTGCTTTGTGCCTGGCCCCTGAGTACTTCTCTCACTTTCTTGCTATCTCAGCCGTGCATTCCAAAGGAAGTCTTATATATCCTGTCTACCATCTTTCAGTGTTCTGCAGTAGGAGGATTTCTGAATACTTAGTCCATTGTATTGCTGGAAGCCCTCTTCATGTTTTGGGTTGAGTACAGTGCAAAAGGTGTAAGATTTGGAGCAAGGGGAACATGGCTTCAAATCCAGGTTTCCTTCAAGCAGTGAAGCCTTAGTCTTGAGCAAATCACTCATCTCTCCAAGCCCCAGTTTGCTTATGTTTAGAAGTGGAGGTGCTAATAGTACCTATTCCAGAGGTCCTTATAAGAATTAGATGGGATCATTAAACCCCTTGATATGAATAATAAAAAAAAAAGAATTAGATGGGATCAGGCCTTTTCTTTCTTTTTTTATAATTGTGGTGTAACAACATATAATACTATATTAGTTGCAGGTATACTACATAATTTGATATTTATATGTATTGCAAAATGATCTCCACAATAAGTCTAGTTCACATCTGTCACCGTACAGTTATAAATATTTTTCTTGTAATGAGAACTTTTAAGATCTACCCTCTAAGCAAATTTCAAATATGAAATACAGTATTGTTATCTGTTAATTGTTAATACAGTAATAGTCACCATGCTGTACATTACATCCCCCATGACTTACTAATTTTATAAACATTTGAAAGTGGAATTCAGATCATATGGTAGTTCTAGTTTTAATTTTTTGAAGAACCTTCATGCTGTTTTCCATAGTGGCTGCACCAAAATAATCAGGCATTTGAACATCTACCACAGGGCCTTAGATGCAATAAGCGCTCAATAGATGATGTTCAGAAGCATCATTGGTATTGTTCAAGCTCTCATATTTAGAATTGACCCAGACATTTTGCTAGCATTTGCTAGCAGCAATAATTTCTCAAGCCTCGATGCCTTCCAGGGCCATGTCTTTGCTGAGCTCTGATGGTAGAAAGAGAATTCTGAAGCCTAAAGACATTCACTATGGGGTGGGAAAGGGAAAGGATGAAACCTGTGATGACCAGGGTGGGGTGTGAGCTGTGCTCCAGGAGTGGCAGGCGCCTGCGTGCATGTGGGCCAGAGCTGGGGCAGTCGGGACAGGACTCTTGACTGAGGAAAGGGCACCGCTTTGGCCTTCAGGGCTTGCTTACCAGAAGCCAGACAGACAAGGGAAGAGGGGACTTCAGAAGGAGAGGACTGAAGAATAAAGGTGAAGTGACCCCTTACACTCTTAGCAAATGTCACTACATTTGTAGGACAGGTAGACAGTGAGAGATATACACAAAGGTGTAAAGATATAGCCATCGGGGTCAGCCAGGCCTGCTCTGCAGCCCACAGCCGCCGCCCTTTGTCTTTGTACCTCTGCTCTTCTCAAGACCCATGGCTTTGCTGCTTTGGGGTTTGTTCATAGCCTTTCTCAGGGGCCTTTAAAAAGATAGGAGTCCCTCTTGCAAGGACTTTTTAGTCTAAGAACAGCCATTCTGCTATGTCTTCTTATAAGTATATTCTGGTCATAGGGCCCAATCTTGTGAGAGGCAAGGTCCTGTTCTCCCTTTAAAATTACAAATTATTGATTTTTCCTAATTTTAAGAAGTAATACATATTCACTGTAAAAAAATAAACAGGAAAGCACATACCTATGTAAAAGAGAAAAAATCATCTATAAATCTCAAACCAGAAGTGACCATTGTTAACATCTTGGTAGCAGCATCTATTTATTCTTTTTCTACAAATGCTTTTGCATTCCTTAGATTTGTACCATCATATGATTTTGCCCTTCCTTCTGTTAATGTGGTATACCATATTGAGTGATTTGCATTCCTTGACCCATCCTTGCATCCCCAGGGGTAAATCCCATTGGGGTGAATGATTCTTTACTGTGCTGTTGAAGCCAGTCTGCTATGATTTCACATTCTGCATTTCTCTGTTATTCAAAACTCTTTGTCATTGGTTTCCTGGCTGCATAACATTTCCCAATTGTTGGATATATATGTGCATTGAGATTCAGTATTCATGAACATTTTAAAGGCTCTTCATTCTTACTGCCACTTTGCTTTCGCTTTTCAGAAAGTTATACAAATTCACCTGTGCCAAGCGGTGCATGAAAGTGTAGGTCTGGACTCCATTTGTCTCCCATTCTACTAGTTTATAAATGAAACTCACCTGGAAGGTCTGACTGAATAAGTATATTCTGGTCATAGGGCCCAATCTTGTGAGAGGCAAGGTCCTGCTCTCCCTTTAAAATTACAAATTATTGATTTTTCCTAATTTTAAGAAGTAATACATATTCACTGTAAAAAAATAAACAGGAAAGCACATACCTATGTAAAAGAGAAAAAATCATCTATAAATCTCAAACCAGAAGTGACCATTGTTAACATCTTGGTAGCAGCATCTATTTATTCTTTTTCTACAAATGCTTTTGCATTCCTTAGATTTGTACCATCATATGATTTTGCCCTTCCTTCTGTTAATGTGGTATACCATATTGAGTGATTTGCATTCCTTGACCCATCCTTGCATCCCCAGGGGTAAATCCCATTGGGGTGAATGATTCTTTACTGTGCTGTTGAAGCCAGTCTGCTATGATTTCACATTCTGCATTTCTCTGTTATTCAAAACTCTTTGTCATTGGTTTCCTGGCTGCATAACATTTCCCAATTGTTGGATATATATGTGCATTGAGATTCAGTATTCATGAACATTTTAAAGGCTCTTCATTCTTACTGCCACTTTGCTTTCGCTTTTCAGAAAGTTATACAAATTCACCTGTGCCAAGCGGTGCATGAAAGTGTAGGTCTGGACTCCATTTGTCTCCCATTCTACTAGTTTATAAATGAAACTCACCTGGAAGGTCTGACTGATGGCAGTGATAGGAGATCAACTGTGTAGCTATCAATATAGTTGAAAATTACCTGAATTTTAATTTTTCAAAATGTCTGCATTTTCCCTTCTCTTCAGGGAGAGACCAACAGGATTATAGCCTCCCACACAATGAACAAAAACTCATCCAGGTCACACTGCATTTTCACCATCTACGTGGAGGTAAGTGTGAGTTCTTTGAACAGCCTGGGAGGGGGTGGTCGATTCCTGTGGGGCAGCTCAGTCAGGAGCTTCTCCCTGTGGTAGTCTAACCTCTGTTTGGATGTTTCATAGGCTCATTCGCTGACCTTATCAGATGAAAAGTACATCACTTCCAAAATTAACTTGGTGGATCTAGCAGGCTCTGAAAGGCTGGGGAAGTCTGGGGTAAGTGCGGGAAAGAGGAGGTTCCTTCTCAGTAAGACACAGCCCGTTTCTGACACAGTGCTAGTGCATGTGGGCCCTCCCTTTGTGGGCATCCATGAGTGCAGTCCTGAGCTAGGTGCAGTGGGAAGTGCAGGCTCGACCCTGTGGAGCTGGAGGGACAGAATTAACAAAGGTGAAACAGCTGCAACACAGAGACAAGTCCTACCTGATAGGATTTTTGTGAACATTAAATGAGATGGGATGATGGCCCCTGAATTCTTAGCAAGATGCCTGGCACTTCGTAAGTGCTCAGTAAAAGCTCCATGCTAGAGTTAGTGTTAGTATTTCTCTGTGTATGAGTGTGAGTGTTCACATGCCTATTTGCATGAGTGTTTCATCCCAAATATTCATATAAGTATGACTATTAGCATAAATATCACAAGAGTATTCAGATGAATATTCCTATGTGCATTCAGATGAGTATATTTGTGTGAATATTCACAGGATTATTTGTTCAGATCTTCCTACATATATTCATATTAGTGTGAATTGTAGGTGAGTTCACATAAGTATTCATATTTACATTAGCATTCACATGATTATTTTTGTATGGGTATTCCTTTGAATATTAGTATTAGCCCACGATGGAATACAGTTGACACTGAACAACTTGGGGGTTAGGGGCACTGACCCCCCATGCCATTAAAAATATGCATTTAAGTCTTGACTTCCCAGGAAATTAACTATTACTAGCGTACTGTTGATGGATGGCTTACTGAAACACAAACAGCTGATTAACGCATCTTGTATGTTATATGCATTATGTATAGTATTCTTTCAATAAAGTAGGTTAGAGAAAACGTTTTTTCAAATTGTCCCAAATCTCAAAAAATTTTTCCAGTGTATTTATTGAAAAAATTTTTGGTTATAAGTGGACCCATGCAGTTCAAACCCCTGTTGGGGTTAACAATCTGATGACAATGAGAGAGGACCCAGGTTGTGAGAGGGAGGCTCTGGCCTGGCCACAGACCTGCAGTGTTCTTAGCAGGGCAGCCTTCCCACTTGGTCTAAAGCGGAGCTAACTTTTTTTGGTTTGTAGTCTGAAGGCCGAGTCCCGAAGGAAGCCACCTACATCAACAAGTCACTGTCGTTCCTGGAGCAGGCCATCATTGCCCGTGGGGACCAGAAGCGCGACCACATCCCCTTCCGGCAGTGCAAGCTCACCCATGCCCTGAAGGACTCACTAGGTGAGGGTGTGGTTGGTGCTTGGGGAGGAGGGACAAGCCTGGCACATCTGTTCCTGTTGATAATGGAGTGGCTCCCTCTCAGTGGCACAGTTGCTTTGGACACACCTGAAAAGGCAGAGTCCAGCCCAGTGTCCTCCTCTTTCACCGACAGTGTGTCATGCTGTCTGCTTCTGAGAACATTTGCTTAAGTTTTTGCCTTTACCAGGAATACCTTTCCCCTCATCCCTAAACCAACTGCAGAATCCTTCATTGGCTTGAAGACCAGATGGAGGGCCTCTCCCGTGACGTCTTTCCGTCCTTTACACCTCTATGACAGAGGAGCAGGGGCTGTGTCTTGTCATCCTTATGTCCCCAGGCTTTCATGACACAGTCATTGGCTTCTGATGATTAACTGACTACCACCTGAGCAAAGCCCTGCCCCACCACCTCTCCCTTGACCCTGCCCCTCCCTGCCCCATGCCGTCTCTCTGCTGTTCCCCGTGTCCTCTTTTAGCTACATCTGGTGACCTCACCCGCTCCCCTCCCTCCTCCCTTGCCTCCCAGCCTCATACATGCTTGGGTGTGTCCTCTATGACCCCACCTTTATCAGTTCAGGCTGCTATATAAAAATACCACAGACTTAACCAATAGACGTTTGTTTTCCACAGTTCTTGGGGCTGAAAGTCCCAGATCCAGGTCTGACAGGGATGGCTCCTGGTGAGGTCTCTCTTCCTGGCTTGTAATGGCCCTTCTTACTGTGTCTTCACATAGCAGAGAGAAGAAAAAGAGAGAGGCCAGAGAGACAGATGGAGCTCTGGTCACGTCTTGCCGTCCTGTAAGGACACTGAGCCCATCATGGGGACTCCACCTCATGATGTCCTCTTACCTAATCGCCTCCTGCAGGCCCTGCCTCCAAACACGGTCATCCTGGGGTTAGGCCTTCAAGGCTGCATATGAACTGGGGAGGGAACCAAACATTCAGTCCATAACAGACTCCCACTGGCCTCAGAGGATCTCTTAGCAGAAAACCCACATGGTTCATGGCCCTTCTGTGTCCTGCTTTCTGCAGGGGGAAATTGCCATGTGGTCCTTGTAACAAACATCTATGGAGAAGCTGCCCAGTTAGAAGAGACGGTACGTAAAGACAGCCAATGCAACCAGATTGGAATCCCTGCTCGTGGGCACCAGGGCTGGCTCTGGGCTGGCCAAGCTAGCCACAGACATTGTCAGGAGTGGAGGGACCAGGGGATGAGTCTGAGCCAAAGTTGCAGAGGAGGCCCAGCCAGAATTCAAATACCAAGTACCCAGGGGTGGAAGCCATGTCGAGGAAGAAGCAGGGCAGGAGGTAGTCTCAGTGCACAGGCCTGTGTGGGGGCAGGAGGCTGATAGCCAGCTTTGTGAGGGAAGGGGCCATGCATCTGGGGTGCTGCTCCTGTGAATTGGGATCTAGGATAGCTGATTCCTTGTTTTTCATAACCACACATTTAAAAATCTTGAGAACACCCAAGGGTTCCAGGCTGTGGTTATAGGGCTAGTGTGAGCTGATAGGTGTTAAGCACCTTGCTTTGTGCAAGGTGGGGAGGGGGGCAGCTCAGCAGAGATGAGGCATACCTGGCTTTGGGCCTCAGAGTTCCCAGCCAAGGCCCTAAGTAATGTGAGAGGCCCAGATGGCCAGGGGTCCTGCAGAGGAGGTAGGTATTTTTCCTGAAGCTGGGATAAGAAAGGTAGCTGCTGAACTGGCTGGGGTTAAAGGATGGTATGGAGAGCAGAGATGCTCCTGGCAGAGGGGACAGTGGGCCTGGAGGTGAGTCTGCCAGGACCATCTGTCTACTGTAGGGGCGGGCTCAAGAAGGAAAGGCAGAAGGAAGTGCAGGGGCTGGGTGAGCCCTGGTGGCTAGGCTGAGGCCTTGGCTGTTCTTCAGCAGGTGGTTGGGGCTGTCACAGGATTTAAGGAGGGGAAGGCTGTGGCCAGAGTTGTGACTCAGGGAGACTAACCCAGTGGCAGGACATGGGCGACTTGAGGAGGGAAGAAGCTTGTATAACCCAGAAGCAGTAATATGGGGCCCCATGCTGGGCTAAGGCAGGGACACAGTGAGCCCACACAGCTGAGCACCCAGGCTGGGGCTCCCTCCTCCCTATGAAGGACCACCCATCATAAAGAAGACAGGTTTGGAAAGCTCTCCTTAGAATTTTGCTTTTCAGTTATGGATATTTAGGGCAAGCGTTAGTCATCTGGAGAATCCACCTAAGTGAAACAGATTGTTTCCAGGCACACTGCAGGGCAAGGTGTTCCTGCAGAGCCTCCCAGCTTCATGCATTAAGGACTGTTCTAGCTTCCAGAGGGAGCATTCCTGTCACACAGCCAGTACCCTGGGGCTTGGGAGGCTGGGGAGGGGAGCTCCAGCTGACGTGCAGGCAGCATCCCCAGAGCAAGGCTTCAGGAACCTGGTCTCAGAGCATAACAAAGCACGGGTGAACCCCAAGAGGATCCAGATAAAAACTGGCTTCCTGACTGCCTTATTGAGAAAGATGCCCTCCAAGACCATTGGAAGGTCCCTCTCTCCCTATATCCCCACCCCTGAGATGGTCACTGCACAGGAAGCAACTCTCTGGTGTCTGCTATCCCCAGAGGCTTGTGCCCATGTGGCTCAGAATCTCTGCCCAGGACTGAGCCCACAGAACCCAGAGACGCTGCTAAAGGGGTCTCAGAGGTTTGGGACAAAGGCATGTAGGAGGTGTGGAAGCTAATGGTTTTCTTCTCCAAATGTTTTAAACTAAAACTGTTCCTGTCACAGATTGTGTTGCTTTATGGAGTGATACTGCATGTGTGTGTGTTGGGGGTCGGGGCAACCACAGTGAGGGTCTCATGGTCACATTTGTAGCTACACCTGGGGCAAGAGAGTCTGATTTCACGCTGTGCAGAAGCGACTCCAACTGTAATGACAGGGCCTCTTCCTGAGGGCTCGCTGTGAGCCAGTTCTGTCCAGAGCACATTGCATACCTCATCACTAAGTCTCCGGGTGACCCTGCAGGGCAGGTCTCCCTGACTTACACAGAGAAGTTATAAAACCTGCCAGCTTGCACAGCTGCTTAGCGGCAGAACTCAGCCAGACCAGACTGCCCAAAGGAAGAGCCTTCCAGTCCTCCTCTCGGCCGTTTCCGGTGACCCGCCCCCCTCCGAGTCTGCTTCCCTGTTTCAGGGCCTTGAGCCAGCCCAGTGTGGTATGCGGCTGGGGTCTCAGGGCCTGCCTTGTGCCACCACTGGCTGCTCCTCACTGCCAGGGAGCAGCCCTTCAGCCCTCATGTAATGTCAGTACAGTGGAGCTCTTTCCCTAGTGCCTGTTTCTGTGGCTGCCTCATGGGCCTCCAGCCACAATTACCCCTGGCTGGCTGCCCCTCCAGAGGGGCTCAGGCAGGACCCCCCAGACATCACTCTGTGGACTCAGGAGACCCCACAGTCCATTAATGTGTAGGAGCATGCCCCTATGTAGAGATTCCCAGTGAACTCCTTTGACATGTTTTGCAAATATCTCTACTTACAAGTAATTGGCCAAACACAGAGAGGGCTTGTCTGATCTATTTTTCAGCTATCTTCACTGCAGTTCACCAGTAGGATGAAGCTGGTCACCACTAAGCCTGCTGTCAATGAGAAGTATGACACCGAGGTACTAAGGGGCTTGTGGGTAGGCAGCTTACTGTGGGAGGGTGTGTTGGCTGGCGTCCTGCCTCAACCACAGGTACCTGTGCCATTCTAGGTCAGTCCTTTTCCACTCTGGGATAGCCCAGAGTCTTCAGACTCCCTGAAGACCCCACCGGGGGCCCCTACAAAGGTAAAAGGGCTAGGTCAGGCCACCACCTGGTTTATAGGTGGGGCTTTGGGGTACCTGAGTACCCTGGGCTTCTATATGAGAATTCCTTAGAGCTAACTGTTTCAGAGCTAAATCAGTGTGGACCATCTCAGACTCATCTAGTATGTCACTGCAGAACCTCTTTCCTCCCAGCCTGTATGATCCCTCCCAGCATGCAGAGCCGACCAACCAGAAGGAATGCTCAGTACCACCATTCACCAGGGAAATGCAAATTAAACCTTAGTGGAATTCCACCCTCAAAGTAGCAAAAATCAGAATTTTTCTGACAATCCAAAATGACAGAATGTGCAGAAATGGGAGAGCTTATTTCTGGTGAGTGTAATTGATACAACCACTTTGGAGAGCATTTTGACAACACCTAGCTAAGTAAAAACATATTTACCAATAATTTGACTTCCCTTTAAGATTCTAGTGGAATCATAGTTACTCAAGATGGGAACACGATGCATATCCTCAGCTCATGACAGAGCAGTTGAGGTAAACCTGCTTAACTAAATCCTGAGGGATTCTAAACCCTGAGGGAAAATAACTGTCTGGTTCTGTGGAACTAACTGATGATTTGGAGGTCGAGGAGAGATTAGAGCTTAGAGTCATGGTTCTTGAACTTGAGCAGGCATCAGGGTCACCTGGCTGGCTTGCTGAAGCCACTGGCGTGTTCTGGGGTGAGACCCGAGGGTTCGCATATCTAGTAAGTTCCCCAGGGGTGCTGCTGCTCTGGGGCCACACTCTTGAGAACCACTGGTGTGGTAGTTAAAAGTGGCCCGTGCATTGGGCTATCCTGGTTCAGCAGCCTGCTCTTAACCTTTATCAGCTGTATAACCTCAGCAAAATACTTACCCTTTCTAAGCGTCAGTTTCCTCATTTGTAAATTAGGGGAGTAACAGAATCTGCTCTCAACAAGGTGTTGTGAAGACTAAGTCATGCTTAGAAACCTCAGCACGGTGCTGTCAAGGAGCAGATGCTCAGTAAGTGTTAGTGCTCTACTCCTACAGGTCAGCAGTGTGTCTTCTCAGTGTATAGTTAAGGGCATCCTCACATATGTATGTAGACATACAGAAGAACGGTGCCCCCACTGCTTTACTGTCACAGTGAAAAAAGACAGCCTTTTACAGAAGAGTAAGTGCATGAGTTATGGGGGAGGGAGCCAGAGCTAAACCTTCAAGCATAGGTGATTGCAAGTGAGAAAATGGAGATTGAAGTGGACCAAATGGCAGCGTCTGTCATTTACACCAAGTATAAAAACATGCAAAGCAATGCTGATGATTGTTAATGGATATATGTGTTTATGGTAAAAGAAAAGAACTGTGGGAATGAAAAGACCAAACTGAGGCTGGAGGCTCCTGCTGGGATGTCAGGGGGATCCACTTGGAGTGGGGTACACAGAGTCTCACGTTTATCTGAGATGGTTTATTTCTTTAAAAAAAAAAACAACTGTTACTCAGCCATAAAAAAGAATGAAATCTTGCTGTTTGCAACACGTATGGACCTAGAGGGCATTACACTAAGTGAAATACATCAGAGAAAGACAAACACCATATGATTTCACTCATATGGGATCTAAAAAAAAAACAAAATTGAAATAGATTTATAAACAGGGAGAACAGACTGGTGGTTACCATAGGGGGGTTGTGGAATGGATGAATTAGTTGAAAAAAACAAAACAAAACTGAAGCCAGTATGGCAGCGTGCTGTTAAAGTCAGATTTGAGAGTGGTCTTCCCAGGTTTCATGGCATTATTTTCATGCTTTTCTGTAGCTTGAAGCTTTATTTATTTATTTGTTTTTCTTGTTTTCATACCTGGTGTTCTCTTTGAGGACTAACACATTATCACCCTCAAACTTGGCTGGTTGGGTGTTTCATCAAATGCAAGGACTTTTGTGCCCTTTAATATGATTTCTATTCTGACATTTGCACCGTTGGTCCTGGAAAGCCAAGTTTCTGTGTCTTCAAATGTGAATGTATTTATAATCTTTACGATAAGCACTTTCCTTCTGTAGCATGAGTTCTTGAGAGTGACGTGGGAAATTATTTTGGTTTCTGTCTTTCCTAGTCTATAGCCAGTATTCTTAGGTTATTTCCAGCCCCATCTCCAGTCCTGATGCCTATTTTCAAGGGGGTGGAATATCTTCTGTAGAATTTCCGTGGCTGGTGGGGCTGGCTTTGTAAGGTGGGAGATTGGGTTCCTAATCCACCTCTGCCACCAGGTCCCTGGTAATTTGTTTGGACTCTGAGCCTCTTAGTATTTATCTATGAACCAGGAGGTTGGACCAATGACCAGTGACCACCTTCCCAACACATCAGTCTATGAGGTGCTGTAAAGGTTGTGAGCCATAAGCATAAACATACAGCAGAGAGACTTGGGGTATCCCACATTGCCAAGAGAAAATACATCTGCAGGCTGCAATGGGATCAAAATAAGGAAACTTCCCAGGCTAACAACTGCTCCTAGCCTGGTGCAGCACTTAAAGAGAAGTCCCTGAATTATCCTCATTACATTTATGGTTAAATCACCTGACTATCAGGGAACTTATTTGAGTCTGCTGTTTCCAAGGCATTAATTCCATCCAGAAAATGTCCACTATCTTTATAAAGGAGCTAGCCTGCCAGGAAGTGCTGCTAGACTCGGTCCCTATGTGTCCAAAAAGCTTCTCTCCAGTCAGTAGAGAGGGCAAGTGGAGGCCACCAAGCCTGCCCAGCATTAGAAGAAGTGGTTCGCATGCTCTCACAGTGTGACTGGGAGGCTGGTAACCCATGGAAGCAGATAGATGGCCTGTTCCCTGCATTGGCCATCTGATTGGCCGGGAGGTTGAGGGCTGGCTCCCCATGCCACATTGGACAGTCTTCCAGCTGGAAACCCCCAGCAGCTCAACCAGACTTTCCCTAGCTCAGGCCCGATGCATTTTTAGAGCCAAGATCCTTTATTTGGGAGGAGGGGATCGGGATGAGTAGGAGCTGGCCACCAAGGCTCTCCAATTAATCTCACAGGAAGTCCACCTGAACGAGACCATCTTGGGGCTGTCCAGAGGGGCAGAGCCAGGATTTAGACCTTGGTCATGTGCTTTGAGTCCCAGGCTTTGTGCCCTGAATCCAGCAGGACACCAGGGTTCAGTCAGCCAGCCCTTGCTGCAGACTGGTCACAGCCTTAGTCACCAGTCTCAGGACCCAGCTGTCAAGGGCTCCCTCCAGTGGCCTTTTTCTGACAACTAAAAGAAGCCCTGTGGTAACAGTGAAGATTCTCAGCTTTAAGTCCCTTGTGCCTCTTGTATGAAAGATACTCAAGACAGTATCTATCAAATGTAAAACGATTAGCAATTCGTTCCTAGAAATATATCATTTCACCTAAAATTTATAGAGCACTTATTACATGCCAGGTACTTTTTGATGCACTAAGGATGCATTAGTGTCCAAACAGAAACACAAAATTCTGTCCTCAAAGAGCTGATAGTCTGTCTGGTAGGAATGGAAGAGAGAGATATAATAAACATACGAAACAGGTATGCTCTAGATTCTGCAATGTGTAACAGCATGGATGAACCTGGAAGACATTATGCTAAATGAAATCAGCCAGACACAGAAAGATCTCCCTGTATGATCTCATTTATATGTGGACCCTTGAAAAGTCAAATTCATAGAAGAATAGAGCTGTGGTTACCAAGAACAGGGGTGGGGATAGTGGCGGGGGCTGAGGAATGGGGAGATATTGGTGAAAGGGTACAAATTTTCAGTTATATGATGAAAATGTTCTGGGGGTCTAGTGTACAGCATAGTGGCAATAGTGAATAATACTGTATTGTATACTGGAAATTTGCTAAGAAAGTAGATCTCACACATAATAAAGTGACAACTAGGTGAGAGGTGGATATGCTGATTGCCTTAACTGTAGTAATGTAGATGTAGGTCAAAACATCATGTTGTATAACTTAAATAAATGCAATTTGTCTTTAGAAAAAAATTCTTTTAAAGAAACTGATAAATTCTAGAGCTTCGCTGTCCAGTACAGTAGGTACTACTCACATTAGTTACTACTTAAATTAGTTAAATAAAATTAAGAATTCACTTCCTTGGTCGCATTAGTCACATTTCAAGTGTTCAGTGGCTATATATGGCTTGTGGCATAGATATAGATAGAGAACATTTCCATCGTTACAGAAAGTCCTGTTAGCTCTGCTCTAGGGTATGTTGGTGATATGTGATGTGTGCTATGAAAAAAATTAGAGCAAGATTTGTAGGAAGGGTGGTGTGGGGAGGGGAGGGGATTTCAGTTTACATAGGAAGTGGGCCCATTTGGTAGGGGAGGTGCGAGCTGGGGGAAAGCAGTAGGAAAGAGGTACTGAGGCAGATGACATAGAGCCTCACAGATGACTGTGTTAACATACAGAGGCCTATAAGGACACAAAGACATAAGTCCGAAGCTGTTTTGCAGTATTGTCTGTACTAGCAAAAAGTTGGAAGTGACATACGTGATGATCGGAAGAAGGGCGATCTGTTTCACAGTGGTTGGAAAGAAAGGGTAAAAGGTCTGGCCATGGCTGGAAAGCATCCTGGAGGCAGTGGGCTGCACTGAGAGGGCCACTGCCTTGGTAAACTGGAGATATTCTGGAGCTCCTGGGAGGGGGCCTGAGGGGGCCCTCGGGTACCTGAAACAGGCAGAGGGCAGGAGACTGCCGAGGTCCCCTCAGACCTTAAACTCACCCCAGCTGGGGAAAAGTCACCAGTAAGGAAGGAATTGTCCAGAAGCTGAGATCACACACCATGGGGATGTCCCAGCACAGGGTGGGGAATGGGGACTTGATGTGGGAGAGGCAGGATGGCCTCTCTGACCCTTCCCCCACCAACTATGTTTCCCTGGCAGCGAATCGTCAAGAACCTGAAGAAGGAGCTGGCACTGCTCAAGCAGGAGCTGGCCATCCATAACAGCCTGGTAAGCGGCTAGAGATGGGGGAGGAGGTGGCTGGGTGCTGGAGGGATGGGGATCAGGGTTCCAGGTGGGCAGAAGGACTGAGTGGGGAAGGAGTAAGGGGGTCAGAGCAGGGATGCTGGATGGGCAGAGGAAGTGAGTGGATAGGGGGCCAGATGCTTGGGGGGCCAAGTAGGCAAGGAGATGGGGGTAACTGGAGGGGCAGGGAGAGGGCCTGGAGGGCCAGGAATGGGGCAAGGGTGTCAGATGGTCAGCAAGCAGAGGCAGGTAGTAGGATGGAAGACAAGGGACAGGGGCTGGGGACCTGGCTGGGGGTAGAAAGGTACAGGGGTAGAAAGCATGGTGGGTCAAGGTGAGGAGGGGTGGGGTAAACTGGGTGATGGGGAAGGTACAGCACCAAGGGGCCATGAGAGCAGGGGGTAGTGGCAGGAGCCCTCCACTGGCCTTCCTGCAATGCTCACAGTCCGGAGGGGCCTAGGCAGAGGCAGCCACATCCCTCCTGGAGCCTCGTCGCACACTCTGCTGAGATTCAGCCTGCAGGACCCCCCTGCTTGCTGCAGCAGGCCCGTCAGGTGGCCGGCCTTTCCTTCCCTCACCGACCCAGTTATCCCTCAGTATCCTGAGCGCCTGGCCTGTGAGTCAGGACCTGATGGTGAAGGGACTGGAGCTGGCGTGGGCAAGCAGGTCCTGTGCCCAACCTCCCCAACTTGGTTCTCAGAAGGTGAGGAGGGGTGGGGTAAACTGGGTGATGGGCAAGGTACAGCACCAAGGGGCCATGAGAGCAGGGGGTAGTGGCAGGAGCCCTCCACTGGCCTTCCTGCAATGCTCACAGTCCGGAGGGGCCTAGGCAGAGGCAGCCACATCCCTCCTGGAGCCTCGTCGCACACTCTGCTGAGATTAGCCTGCAGGACCCCCCTGCTTGCTGCAGCAGGCCCGTCAGGTGGCCGGCCTTTCCTTCCCTCACCGACCCAGTTATCCCTCAGTATCCTGAGCGCCTGGCCTGTGAGTCAGGACCTGATGGTGAAGGGACTGGAGCTGGCGTGGGCAAGCAGGTCCTGTGCCCAACCTCCCCAACTTGGTTCTCAGAATGGTTCCTGCTCTCCTACTTGGACTCAGTTGCTTGGAGCTTATCCACATGTTCTTCCTCCTCCTCCAAGGCCAACCGCACCTTTGTGAACTATGACCCCATGGATGAAATCCAGATTGCTGAGATCAACGCCCAGGTGCGGAGGTACCTGGAGGGGACACTGGATGAAATTGACGTAAGGAGCCCCTCCTTGGGACCACCATGACCAGTGGGCCTGGGGCTCCTGTCCTGGGCACACCCTGACTCATACTCTGCTGGTCTCTGAACCTCCCACTGGGAGGGGCAGAGTGGGCATAGAGTGGGTGGTGCTGGACCCCTGGCCTCAGGGCCCCTTCAGCTTCCTGAGGCCTCAGCATGCCTACATAGGGTCGTAAGACCGTGGGTGCCCCATAGAGTGGCCAGCAGCCTTGAACACGCAAGAGGTGGTCTGCCGCTGGGGGCACAGTGCAGGCTGCGGAGCCCGGCTGCCCTGGACAGAATCCTGGCTCAGCTGTCTCCTTGCTCAGTGACTTCAGCGAAATGCTCAACCTCGTGGAACCTGGGGGCCTCCCATGTACAGCCGGGAGGGAAACCTCAGGTGCTTGGCTGGGCCAGGTGGAGTGAGGCTGTTAAAGAATGATGGTCGTGCTGATTGTACAAGACAGACCTGCGCCCATGTTGGAATGGGCCAAGGAGGAAGAGACAGCTACACAGGCAACAGCCTCCCAGCAGGAAAAATGCAGGAATGTTTTTATAGTGCAGGCCTGCAAACCCCTCATCAGGAAGTTACATAGGCAGACCCCCCCCCACCCCGGCCCGTTTCTCTGGGCAGCCAAGAGGCAGGCCCAAGAAAACTAAGGGCTCTTCCACCTTCCCAGCAGGGGCAGACTAACTGACCCTCAGTCTAGGGTAATGCCCATGGGCTGCAGGACCGAGAGGGAGGCCAATGGCCTTCATGCAGCCACAGGTGTGTGTATGTGTCTGTACCCATAAAGAAAGGTTTTCAGTGGAACCTTTTGGAAGCAGGAGAGAGCTAAGGACACTAAATCTTACTAAAATTTTTTCTAGTTCAAGAACTAGAGTCACTTAAAGTTTCTAGAGATCTTCACTTTAAACAGGTGATTTTTATAGCCTCAGTAAATACTTAGTTTGAAAATTATTAATTAGGTGTTCCTCTGTTCTTTCCTGCCACTTTGCTGAGAGGCTGTTTACGGCTGTCCCACTCTCCAGACAGATGATGGTCAAAGAGTTAGCTAAGGGTCCTGGTTTTTCTCCTATCATAGACACAGCCTTAGTCCTGTGGTGCTGAAGTCTAGCTGCTGCCGTGTTTGTTTCCCTCTAGATAATCAACCTCAGACAGATCCAGGAGGTGTTCAACCAGTTCCGGGTGGTTCAGAGGTAAGGGACCCTCCCCACCCATCTGACTCCTACATCAGGTTGCCATTTTCATTTCCAGTGGTCTGGATGTGAATACCACCTTCTCCTGCATGTGTCAGAAGCCAAATTGGGGTCCTCTGGGTGTGTCCAGGCCCCTGGTGTCCCTGATAGGCTTTGCTCCCGAGCTCTCAGATCCTCCCAGCTTCCCCTTCTCGGAGGGGAAGCAGGGAGGACAGCCCTCCATTTTGGGAGCTACCCAGAGAGGAGGTGGGCCCTGGTGGATGTTTCCCGGGTTTGTTAAGCAGTCAGGAGGTCTTTGTAGAGTGCCAGCCCTGAGTGTGGCCAGAGCAGGAAGTTGTGAATACCTTCGCTCCAACTCCCATCACAGGAGGCATTTGTGGTTTATTTGGGTGCAGACATACCAGTATCCTGAGTGGCTCAAGCTGGATGGTATCACAGAAGCTGGTCACATGATTCCACAGGGCATGTTAGAGACAGAATCCAGGCCAGAAAGCATGATCCCCAAGCAGCTTACAAGTCTTTGTTAAAGTCATCTTGGAGCAGATGTGCCCCAGCTGATTTTGGGGCTAGACAATGGGTGTGTGCACTGCGGAGTCTGGGTGACGGAATGAGCTTGTTCTGTCTGGTCTGGTTTGTGAGGAGGGCCCGACTCCATCACAAGGGGCCACACCCGAACAACTTCTAACACCAGTACTTGGTTCTTGCTTCAGAGGGTTCAGCATGGCCCCACCTAAGAGGTGTTCTCTCACTCTCTACCAAGGCAACAGGAAGAAGAAGTGGAGTCCGCTTTGCGCAGAAAGTACACCCTCACAGATAAAAATGACTTTGCAGCTGTTTCTGCTGTCCAGAAGGTAAGCATAGTTGCCTCTTGCTGGTAGCACTCATGTTAGATTTTTCCATCCCCAGACCTCTCCACAGGCAGCAGGCAGACCTAGCATTGCACCAGATAAAAGTAACACCAGGATGAGCATGGGGTGATGGGGGGACCCATGCAAGTGTAAGCCACATGTGAATTCAAAGTGGCCTCCAAAATTGGAGACATGGCTAATAATAAACAAGAGCAATTCCTGGAGGTAGGTTGGAAACAGGCCTTAAGATCCTCAGGGTATGGAATGAGCCAACATATCAAACAGGAAGAGCGGATGTGGAAAGTAGACATTGGTATAGCCCTGTTGGGGACAGCCTAAAACTAGCAGCAGCAGCCACAGTGTGGTGGGTGGGATGAACACGCCCACCTGAACCTTCAGCCCTTATACGCTTGGGTCCCCGAGGGGCCCAGACCCTTTATCTAACCCTGTGGCTGGCCTCTAACCAGGCAGGACTGGTGGATGTTGACGACCACTTTGTGGGTGAGCTTGATGGACAAGGCTTCGGACTTGAGGTCACCCCTTTCTCTACCAAATCTGGGAAGAAATCCAAGTCCGAGAAGACACTCAAAGAGCGGCTCAGGTGAGTGGCCTGCCTACTGCTCTGCCTGTCCAGCACCTGGCCTTTCCTGGCGGATGAGGGGACACAAGCTGGGTGGGCACTGTAGAGATCCCAATATTAGCAACATCTGTGGGGCCCAGGCTGGGGCTAGTCACCTGTCATCCACACAGAAACCCCACAAGGTGGGAGTTGATGTCTCCATCTTACTGATGAGGAGACCAAGACTTAGAGAGGGGAAGTCATTTCCGAGGCCACAGCCCGATGAGCAGTGGAGCTGAAGTGAGGAGCTGGGCCAGCACTTGCCCTCTGGTGCTTCAGGGGGAACCCCAGCAACCAGACCAAGCTGACTGGCTCTCACGTCCCCAAAAACCCCAGTTCACTTTTCAGGTGAGATGCACTTGTGTGTGCAAGCTGGGAAGAGTGTCAAGGTTCACTTGATGACTCACCTCCTTAGGAGGGGCCATGTCGGGATGGACAAGGGCCGGGCTCCACAGGTGACGCCTGAGCTCTCCTCCCTGCTCTGTGCTGCTGCTACCTGAGCGGCTGCCTTGGGTGAAGCATGAGAGCATCTCTGTGCCTCCATTTCCTCACCCCTGACATGGAAAGCAGAAGAATAGCATCAGAGTACCGAGGATGCAAGGATAGTGAGTGAACGCATTCCCTGTACCTGGGAAGTACTCAACAGAACTAGGTTGTCACTGTTCTTACCCCTTGTAAAAGGACACAGGCCAAAGCTGATTGTAGAGAACTGTCACAAGCAGGACGGGAGTTGGGTAGCAGACTTGCTGATGCCCTGACCTCCTCCTTCCTCTTCCGGAAGGGCAGTCACACCCCAGCCCTCTCCATCCTGCCCCTGGGAAAGCAAAGCAGTAACAGGTGGATTGAGGCTTGTCCCTGAAGCCACACTTGTTACAAGAAGTAGTAAAAGAGAAGAGGAAATGGTGGAAAGAGCTGGGCCTCCTCTTACCGGTTTAGGCTTTCTCAGATGTTCCTCTCTGGAAGCAGGATCCTGGGTGCCAGCACTTGGAGAAGCTGCTTTCCGGGAGCTGGTGTGAGCACTAGTGTAGGTGGGGAGAGCGGGTCAGGGACTGGTCAGAGCGGCAGGGCAGATCTGTCCTGTTGAGACCCAGCTGACCCCATCCTTCAAGGAGGGGGATGTCAGAGAAATGCTTCTGCGGGACTGTGAGACCGCCAGCATTGAGCCCCCTGCCTCGGACTCCCCGAAGGAGGAGTTACGCCCACCCAGCTGACTATCTAATGCAAGCTCTTGCCACAGATCATCCAAAAGCAGAGTGTGATCCTCAAATTGTAAAGAGCACCTGCAGGTAGAAGAGAAATAAAATAGAGGGTAATGAGCAAAGACCAGGAACACAGTCCAAAGAGGAGAAACATGGCGGCTTGTATACGGGTAAAGCGGGGTGGCCGAGGAACCATCCGAAATGACGATTACCTACCAAACAGCTTTAGACCCTCCAAATAGCAATCAGTTAAATAACTGGATTTACATATCATTAAAATAAGTAATGCATCCAAAAGGTACAAGATTCTCCAAGTATGAGACCCCTTCTTCCTGCTCCTCATTTCCTCTCCCTGGTTAGTCAGTAATCGAGTTTTTAGGAACCTATCCTAAGGAAATCACTAGAGATGTGGACAAAGATATATGCAAATAGATGTTCATTGCATCATGAATTTAAAGTAAGGAGAGGTGACTAAGTGAATTACTATCTCTGCCCTTGGAATGTACAAGGATGTGCATGAAGAATTTCTTCCCTAGCCTATGAACATTTCCAAGCAGAGGAGTTCAAAGATTTGTGCAGCGAACATCCTCTTGATTCTACAGTTAACATGTCACTATCCTTATTTCATCATGTGTCCACCTTTCTCTCCATCCCTCCATCCATCTTATATTTTTATGTTGTCCAAAGCAAGTTGCAGACAATCTACTTCCCCCAGCCCCAAGACTTCATCTTAGATCTCATTAATTAGAGTTCTTAAAGAGTTTTTAATAGCATGAAAGAACACTGTAAAAAAAGTAAAATGGGACCTTACACATACCGATGACCTCAAACATTTAAAAACTTATAAAAAAAAATCCCTGAAGGAGATACACCAGAGTGTGGTTGCCAAAACGTAGTGAGTACTTTTTTGTTTTTTCACTACTTTCCCTTGCTATCCTCATTTTCTGCAATGAGCATGTGCCCTTGTGTGCTGAGTGACACACAGATGAGGGAATTATTCCTACACAGCTTAGCTCCCACCTGGGGTAGGTGGTGCCTGGGAATTCTGGCCTCCTGCCCACAGAAGCCCCAGAGGAACAAGGCATTGCCTGGTGGCTCCAAGACAGTGGCCCCATTTTTCCCCTCTCATCCTTCCCCTCGGACTTCAGGCCTAGAACCCCACCCTCCAAGTCTGTGGCCTTTGAAGACTTTAAGAAGGAGCAAGGTAGTGAAATCAACCACATCTTAAAAGAAAACAAATCCATCTTGAACGAGCTCAGCAAAAAGGCCAGCGAGACTACACAGCGCATCAATGCCATCAAGTGGGAGATTGATATGACCAAGGAGGCACTGGGTTTCCAGAAGTCACAACGGGAGAAGCAAGGTAAATGTGATGGGAACAGAGCCAGGGGGCTGTGCGAGCTATGCCATCTGCACCAAATAGGGCAGCCTTGGGCGATGGGAGGGGCTAGCAGGGGATGCTGGGGTGCAGCCTTCATGCCTGAGCCATCACTTAGCTCTGCTTGGCTGTGGGGAGCCACAGAGTCCTTCCCTGGCAGCCAGCCTCTCCCCATGGGCCCCCCATTATTTCATTATCTTAGCACAGAAAGGTCAGCACATACCAAACTTTAATCAGTCTTTGGTGAAAGAAAAATGAAAAATCATCCCCAGTTCAGCTCTTTTAGGTTTCTTTCTTTGTTTTCTGGTATCATTAATATACAAATTACATGAGCAACACTGTGGTTACTAGGTTCCCCCATTATCAAATCCCCACCACATACCCCATTACAGTCACTGTCCATTAGCGTAGTAAGATGCTATAGAGTCACTACTTGTCTTTTCTGTGTTGTACTGCCTTCCTCATGCCAACCCCCCCCACATTATGTGTACTAATCATAATGCCCCTTTTTCCCCTTATCCCTCCCTTCCCACCCATCCTTCCCAGTCCCTTTCCCTTTGGTAACTGTTAGTCCATTCTTGGGTTCTGTGAGTCTGCTGCTGTTTTGTTCCTTCAGTATTTTCTTTGTTCTTATCGTCCACAGATGAGTGAAATCATTTGATAGTTGTCTATCTCTGCCTGGCTTATTTCACTGAGCATAATACCCTCTATCTCCATCCATGTTGCAAATGGCAGGATTTATTTTCTTCTTAAGGCTAAATAATATTCCATTGTGTATATGTACCACATCTTCTTTATCCATTCATCTACTGATGGATGCTTAGGTTGCTTCCATTTCTTGGCTATTTTAAACACTGCTGCGATAAACATAGGGGTGCATATGTCTTTTTGAGACTGGGAAACTGCATTCTTAGGGTAAATTCCTAGGAGTGGAATTCCTGGGTCAAATGGTGTTTATATTTTTAGTTTTTTGAGGAACCTCCATACTGCTTTCCACAATGGTTGAACTAGTTTACACTCCCCCCAGCAGTGTAGGAGGGTTCCCCTTTCTCCACATCCTTGCCAGCATTTGTTGGTTTGTCTTTTGGATGGTGACCATCCTTACTGGTGTGAGGTGATATCTCATTGTGGTTTTAAGTTGCATTCCTCTGATGATTAGGGATGTGGAGCATCTTCTCATATGCCTGTTGGCCATCTGAATTTTGTCTTTGGAGAAGTGTCTGTTCAGATCCTCTGCACATTTTTTGATTGTATTATTTGCTTTTTGTTGGTTGAGGTGTGTGAGCTCTTCGTATATTTTGGATGTCAACCCCTTATCAAATATGTCACTTATGAATATATTCTCAAATACTGTAGGATGCCTTTTTGTTCTATTGATGGTGTCCTTTGCTGTACAGAAGCTTTTTAGTTTGATACCATCCCACTTATTCATTTTTGCCTTTGTTTCCCTTGTGCAGGGAGATATGTTCATGAAGAATTTGTTCATGTTTATATTCAAGAGAGTTCTGCCTATGTTTTCTTCTAAGAGTTTTATGGTTTCATGACTTACATTTCATGACTTTGATCCATTTTGAGTTTACTTTTGTATATGGACTTAGACAATAATCCAGTTTTATTCTCTTACATGTAGCTGTCCAATTTTGCCAACACCAGCTGTTGAAGAGGCTGTCATCTCCCCATTGTGTATCCATGGCTCCTTTATCATATATTAATTGACCATGTATGCTTGGGTTAATATCTGGACTCTCTGTTCTATTCCACTGGTCTGTGGCTCTGTTCTTGTGCCAGTACCAAATTGTCTTGATTACTGTGGCTTTGTCGTAGAACTTGAAGTTGGGAAGCGAGATCCTCCCCTGCTTTATTCTTCCTTCTCAGGATTGCTTTGGCTATTCGGGATCTTTTGTGGTTCCATATGAATTTTAGAACTATTTGTTACAGATTGTTGAAGAATGCTGTGAGTATTTTGATACCGATTGCATTGAATCTGTAGATTGCTTTAGGCAGGATGGCCATTTTGACGATATTAGTTCTTCCTACCCAGGAGCTTGGGATGAATTTCCATTTGTTAGTGTCCTGTTTAATTTCTCTTAAGAGTGTCTTGTAGTTTTCAGGGTATAAGTCTTTTACTTCCATGGTTAGGTTTATTCCTAGGTATTTTATTCTTTTTGATGCAATTGTGAATGGAATTGTCTTCCTGATTTCTCTTTCTGCTTGTTCATCATTAGTGTATAGGAAAGCAACAGATTTCTGTGTATTAATTTGTATCCTGCAACTTTGCTGAATTCAGATATTAGTTCTAGAGTTTTGGAGTGGATTCTTTAGGGTTTTTTATGTACAATATCATGTCATCTGCAAACAGGGACAGTTTGACTTCTTCTTTACCAATCTGGATGCCTTGTATTTCTTTGTGTTGTCTCATTGCCGTGGCTAGAACCTCCAGTACTATATTGAATAGAAGTGGGGAGAGTGGGCATCCTTGTCTTGTTCCTGATCTTAGAGGAAAAGCTTTCAGCTTCTCGCTGTTAAGTATGATCTTGGCTGTGGGTTTGTCATATATGGCCTTTATTATGTTGAGGTACTTGCCCTCTATACCCATTTTGTTGAGAGTTTTTATCATGAATGGATGTTGAATTTTGTCTAATGCTTTTTCAGCATCTATGGAGATGATCATGTGGTTTTTGTGCTTCTTTTTGTTGATGTGGTGGATGACGTTGATGGATTTTTTAATGTTGTACCATCCTTGCATCCCTGAGATGAATCCCACTTGATCATGGTGTATGATCCTCTTGATGTATGTTTGAATTCAGTCTGCTAATAGTTTGTTGAGTATTTTTGCATCCATGTTCATCAGGGATATTGGTCTGTAGTTTTCTGTTTTTGTGGGGTCTTTGCCTGGTTTTGGTACTAAAGTGATGCTAGCTTCATAGAATGAGTTTGGAAGTATTCCCTCCTCTTCTATTGCTTGGAAAACTTTATGGAGAATGGTTATTATGTGTTCTTTAAATGTCTGATAAAATTCAGTGGTGAATCCATCTGGTCTGGGATTTTGTTCTTGGATAGTTTTTTGATTACTAATTCAATTTCATTGCTGGTAATTGATCTGTTTAGGTTTTCTGTTTCTTCCTGGGTCAGTCTTGGAAGGTTGTATTTTTTAAGAAAGTTGTCCATTTCTGCTAGATTATCCAGTTTGTTAGCATATACTTTTTCATAGTATTCTCTAATAATTCTTTGTATGTCTGGGGTGTCCATCGTGATTTTTCCTTTCTCATTTCTGATTCCTTTTATGTGTGTAGATTCCCTTTTTCTCTTAATAAGTCTGTCTAGCGGTTTACCTATTTTGTTTATTTTCTCAAAGAACCAGCTCTTGGTTTCATTAACTTTTTCTTTGTTTTATTCTTCTCAGTTTTATTTATTTCTTCTCTGATCTTTATTATGTCCCCCCTACTGCTGACTTTGGGCCTCATTTGTTCTTCTTTTTCCACTTCCAGTAATTGTGACTTTAAACGATTCATTTCAGATTGTTCTTCCTTCTTTAAATAGGCCTGGATTGCCATATACTTTCCTCTTAGAACTGCCTTCGCTGTGTCCCACAGAAGTTGGGGTATTGTGCTGTTATTTTCATTTGTCTCCATAGATTCCTTGATCTGTTTTAATTTGGTCATTAATCCATTGATTATTTATAAGTGTGTTGTTAAGCCTGCATATGTTTGTGATCCTTTTGTTTTCTTTGTACAATTTATTTCTAGTTTTATACCTTTTTGATCTGAGAAGTTGGTTGGTACAATTTCAATTTTTTTGAATTTACTGAGTCTCTGTGGCCTAGTATGTGGTCTATTCTGGAAATGTTCCATGTGCACTTGAGAAGAATGTGTATCCTGCTGCTTTTGGGTGTAGAGTTCTGTAGATGTCTGTTAGATCCACCTGTTCTAGTGTGTTGTTCAGTGCTTCTGTGTTCTTACTTATTTTCTGTCTGGTTGATCTGTCCTTTAGAGTGAGTGTTGTGTTGAAGTCTCCTAAAATGAATGTATTGCATTCTATTTCCTCCTTTAATTCTTTTAGTATTTTTTCACATATGTAGGTGCTCCTGTGTTCAGTGCCTAGATATTTATAATAGTTATATCCTCTTCTTGGACTGACCCCTTTGTCATTATGTAATGTTCTTCTTCGTCTCTTGTTATGTTCTTTGTTTTGAAGTATTTTGTCTGATATAAGTACTTCAACACCTGTTTTTTTCTCCCTATTTGCATAAAATATCTTTTTCCATCCTTCACTTTTAGTCTGTGTATGTCTTTGGGTTTGAAGTGAGTCTCTTGTAGGCAGCATATAGATGGGTCTTGCTTTTTTATCCACTCTATTACTCTGTGTCTTTTGATTGGTGCTTTCACTCCACTTACATTTAGGGTGATTATTGATAGATATGTACTTATTGCCATTGCAGGCTTTGGATGTGTGGTTACCAAAGGTTCAAGGGAAGCTTCTTTACTATCTGACTGTCTAACTTAACTCACTTGTTATGCTATTATAAACACAGTCTAATGATTCTTTATTTCTCTCCCTTCTTTTTCTTCCTCCTCCACTCTTTGTATGTCAGGTGTTTTGTTCTGTACTCTTTGAGCTTCCCTTGAGCTGATTTTATTTTGCCTTTAGTTAGTATTTGGTTGGTCTACTTTCTTTGCTGTGGTTTTATTTTCTCTGGTGACAGCTATTTAGCCTTAGGCATACTTCGATCTAGAGCAGTCCCTTTAAAATACATTGTAGAGATGGTTTGTGGGTGGTAAATTCCCTCAACTTTTGCTTATCTGGGAATTGTTTAATCCCTCCTTCAAATTGAAATGATAATCTTGCTGGATATAGTATTCTTGGTTCAAGGCCCTTCTGTTTCATTGCATTGAACATATCATGCAATTCCCTTCTGGTCTGTAAGGTTTCTGCTGAGAAGTCTGATGATAGACTGATGGGTTTTCCTTTGTAGGTGATCTTTTCTCTCTCTCTGGCTGCTTTTAATACTCTGTCCTTATCTTTGATCTTTGCCATTTTAATATTATATGTCTTGGTGTTGTCCTCTGTGGGTCCCTTGTGTTGGGAGATCTGTGGGCTTCCATGGTCTGAGAGACTATTTCCTTCCCCAGATTGGGGAAGTTTTCAGTAATTATTTCTTCAAATACACTTTCTATCCCTTTTTCTGTCTCTTCTTCTGGTGCCCCTATAATGTGAATATTGTTCTATTTGGATTGGTCACACAGTTCTCTTAATATTCTTTGATTCCTGGAGATCTTTCTATCTCTCTCTGCCTCAGCTTCTCTGTATTCCTGTTCTCTTATTTCTATTCCATTAACAGTCTATTCCACCTCATCCAGTCTCTCTTAAATCCTTCCATTGTTTGTTTCATTTCTGTTATCTCCCTCCTGAATTCATCCCCTGGCCTTTGCATATTTCTCTATAGCTCTATCAGCATGCTTATGACTTTTATTTTGAAGTCTTTTTCAGGAAGATTGGTGATTTCAGTCTCAGCCCTCTCTCTGGTGTTTGCAGAACTTGGGACTGAACAAGATTCTTCTGCGTTTTTGAGTGGTTGCCAGCAGGTGGCATGTGTGTCAGTTGGGAGAACAAAGTGCCTTCCTGTTTGCCAGTTGCCCTGCCTATGTCTGCTGTCTGTGCTAGTCAACTGTACACAGGGAGCAGCTTCTGGATTAATCCCCTAAGCTGCCTTCAGTGGGGCAGCCTTTGAGATGGCCTAGGGCACTGGCAGGGGTGGCAGGGGAGCCGTGTGTGTTCTGCCATGAGAACAGAGCCCCTTCGTACTGCCCATACTCTGCATCTGTCTCCACTGTCTATGCTGGTCAACCACATACAGGGAGCAGCCTCTGTGTTAATCCCCTAAACTGCCATGGGCAGGGTGACCCTCGGAATGGCCTAGGGCACTGGTGGGGGCTGCAGGAGAGTGGCATGTGTTCTGTCTCGTGAACTGAGCCCCTTTGTACCTCCTGGACTCTGCGCCGGTCTCTGCTGTGTGTGCCGGTCCACCATGCATAGGGAGCAGCCTCTGGGTCTGGGCCATTTAGCCACATGCAGGGAAAAGCCTCTGTGCTAAGCTGTGTGGTTGCTGTAGGTGCGGCTGCTCCCTGGTTGTTCCTCAGCAATAGTGAGTCAGCCAGTTTGCTTGTATTGCCGGCAGTGGTGAAGGATGGCAGGCTGCTTATTGCTACGAGGGGCTTCAGAGCTGCGTTGCCACTCAGGCGGTTAGGGTGCCTGAAGTTCTTTAAAGTTCCCAGCCTGTTGGGCTGAGTGTGCCAGGACACTTTGTCCACCAGTTAAACCCTTGTCCCTTTAAGACTTTTAAAGCACCTGTTTTTCTTTTGTCCCAGGGCAGCCAGCTGTGGGAACCTGTTTGCAGTCTCAATTTTGCACCTTGCTTTTCTGCTCCTCCAATATCCAGTGCACCATGCAATGTGTATCTGTGCTCCCGGGGCAGAGTCCAGGGCTGGTTACTTAGCAGTACTGTGCTTCCACTACCTCCCCACTCTGATTCCCTTCCTCCACTGGTGAGCCAGGGTAGAGAGAGTGCTTGGGTCCCGCCGGGTCACGGCTTTGTATCCTACCCTTTTCCGTGAGATGTTGGGCTCTTGCAGATGTAGCATGACTCGTGTACTGTATCTTCTGGTCACTCTTTTAGGAATAGTTGTATTCACTGTATTTTCAAAATATTTATGGTTTGGAGAGGAGATTTGCACCACCCTACTCCTACCAACATCTTGAGAATCCTTTGTCTCTTAGGTTTTTTCCTTGGTTTATCAGAGAACCTCTGGGTAATACCAAAGATGTTCACAGTTACTCCCCATCTCAACAGAGTACCACAAAGACTCTACTTTGTAAAAGATTTGTGTGTATCAAAGTGACTGCCTCAGGGATGGCCCACAGCACACAGACCAAGTCACTGTGCACTGCAGGTGAGGGTGACTCTGAATCTCCCTCCCCCAAATCTAAGATGCCTTGAATTGGAACGCTTCCCACTCCATAACATCAGTGGATGCGCTAACATTTCCCTCCAACACCTAGGGACTGCCTCATGCACTCCCATCACGTGCCTCAGTCACACACAGGACTCTCTCTACACAGGTCCTGGGGCTGGAGGCACTGCACCTGGAGGGGGCTGATGTGGCACTGCTGCTGAGCTTTCAGTGCTATGGGCAGTGGGCAGCAGGTGAATGGCTGCCAAGGCCATATTATTTTGTTTTAACCCAACAACCCTTGTCAAACTGACAGACTTGTAAAGGTTGTTCAGAGACCATGAGTGGAGGGGATGACAAGACAGAACAGAGGGTAACTCAGAGAGTTCATGTCTCTAGGAAGGTGGGGCCTCAGGAACCACATTACTAGGACACCCAGGGTCATACTCCCCCTTTCAGAGAGGCAGAGATGGAATATGCCAGCCCAGGGAGATCCTAACTTACCTGGAATCAGCAGGTACCTTCTGCCTATTCCAGAGCCCTGGGGCTGGGCTGGACCCAACAGAGGCCCCATAGACTAAGGCCAGGCCTGGACATGGCTAGTGAATGCTAGTCTGGTCCATGAGAGGTTCACAGCCCAGGACAAGGCCTGGGGATTCTTTGAGGCCACTGCCTTTTGGGGACAAACTCTCTAATGGGGCCACCCTGCACAAGTGGCAGGGGACAGAGGATCAAATGCAGCCAAGGCAAAGCTAGACATAGTGTTAGCCATGGGCTGGCCTAGTACTCCCCTCCCTGAGCAAACTGGACTGGAGCAGAGAGTCCCACTCTGCCAAGGCCCAGCCTGGAGCCGGAACACAGAAGGCCTGTGTGCTGTGATCTTCTCTGTGCTCAGGGGCAATTTTTATATAGCAGTGGCAGATGCACGTGGTGAACTCATCCTTTAAAATTTTGGGGTGAGGGGATATTATTTACATTTTCAATAGGTGACATTCAGTTTAAGCATTAAAAGATGAAAGTCCAAATACCCAGTTCCCCATCTGCCCAGGTCCCACCAGCTGCCTTTGACAGGGAGCCCCCGTCGCTTGTGTCTAGTGTTCCCCCTGAATACTGTTCTGCATCTTGCTTTTCCACTTAACAGTGTATACTGAAGATCATTCCATGTCAGCACATAGGTGCTTCTGTACTCTTTTACAGCTGCGTAGTAGTACTCCATTGTGAGGGTGTATGAGAATTTATTCAACCTATCTCATACTGAGAGACATTTAGGAGGTGCCATTTTTTAACTATTACAAATATTGTGATAACCTTTCACAAATGTGAATTTGCATGAGTGAATATATATTTGAAAGATAAAGTTGTAGCAGTGAATTTCTTGGTCAAAAAGGTAAACATCTGTATAATAGAGGGGCTTACTGAATATCCTTGGCTGATGGAGGTTAAGATCAAAATAAGTGTGAGGCATAGGCCATTCCTACCCTCTCCTGTGCCCACCACTTCTGTTTATACTAAAAATGGTGTCAGTGGCCTCTCTACTCTGAGTTCGCTTTCCCTGTGAGACCTATCCTGGTAGCCTGACCTCATGCTTTGCCTACTCCCATGCTGTGGCCTAGCCCTTCCTCTGGTCTCGTCTTCATGCTTTGCCAACACTGTCGCCTGTTTCCGAATGCCTTCCTCCCCCAACCCCAGGTGACCACTTCATTTCCTGACCCCCTCCATTCCCCTGCAGGTGAGTATGAGAACAAGGGGCTGATGATCATTGATGAGGAGGAATTTATGTTGATCCTGAAGCTCAAAGACCTCAAGGAGCAATACCGTACCGAATATCAGGACCTGTGTAAGCTCAAAGCTGAAATCCAGTACTGTCAACACTTGGTGAATCAGTGTCGCCTCCGCTTGCTCACAGGTTCGCCATTTCGGAAGGTTGGCTGGCCCCCTGAGGTCCAGGGAGGTACCACCTGGGTTCTAGAAGTCTATTCAGAGCTTCTCTCTGGTAGAGACTGGCCTGGGCTAGGGCTTCAGATGTGTGAAGCACCCCTTACAGTGCTATCTCCCCACCTCCCTGCAGAATTTGAGATCTGGTACAATGAGTCCTTCATCCCTGAGGACATGCAGGTGGCACTGAAGCCAGGTGGCAACACCCGAGCAGGCATGTTGCCTGTCAGAAGGATCGTATCTCTGGTGAGTGGCACAAGGGCAGGGGTGTGGATGATGAATGGACATGGGGCAGTGCCCCTTGCCCCCTGTTCTTTCCACAAACATGGCAGTGTGGGGGCTGCTCCCAGCCTCTCCCAGGGCTGGCCCAGGCAGATGGGCAGGTGCTGGCCACTCCCTAGCTAATGAGGATGGGGACACAGAAAGCTAACACCTTTCTGGGGTGGTCATCCTGCACAGGTGGCAGTTATGGGGTGTCTGTAGTGATGGTGGTGAACATGGGTTTGGGGGTTTGTGAACTACCCTGGGGGGGGGTTTGCACACCCAGTGAGGGGCTTCCCTGATGGGTGGTGGGTCCTGGGGATGCCAGGCTGAAGGCACTGTGCTGAGTTGGGCCTCTTCTAGGGAGAAGATGACCAGGACAAGTTCAGACAGCTGCAGCAGACGATGCTGCCCGAGGGCCCTGATTCCATCTCCTTCTACAATGCTAAAGTCAAGACAGAACAGAGGGTAACTCAGAGAGTTCATGTCTCTAGGAAGGTGGGGCCTCAGGAACCACATTACTAGGACACCCAGGGTCATACTCCCCCTTTCAGAGAGGCAGAGATGGAATATGCCAGCCCAGGGAGATCCTAACTTACCTGGAATCAGCAGGTACCTTCTGCCTATTCCAGAGCCCTGGGGCTGGGCTGGACCCAACAGAGGCCCCATAGACTAAGGCCAGGCCTGGACATGGCTAGTGAATGCTAGTCTGGTCCATGAGAGGTTCACAGCCCAGGACAAGGCCTGGGGATTCTTTGAGGCCACTGCCTTTTGGGGACAAACTCTCTAATGGGGCCACCCTGCACAAGTGGCAGGGGACAGAGGATCAAATGCAGCCAAGGCAAAGCTAGACATAGTGTTAGCCATGGGCTGGCCTAGTACTCCCCTCCCTGAGCAAACTGGACTGGAGCAGAGAGTCCCACTCTGCCAAGGCCCAGCCTGGAGCCGGAACACAGAAGGCCTGTGTGCTGTGATCTTCTCTGTGCTCAGGGGCAATTTTTATATAGCAGTGGCAGATGCACGTGGTGAACTCATCCTTTAAAATTTTGGGGTGAGGGGATATTATTTACATTTTCAATAGGTGACATTCAGTTTAAGCATTAAAAGATGAAAGTCCAAATACCCAGTTCCCCATCTGCCCAGGTCCCACCAGCTGCCTTTGACAGGGAGCCCCCGTCGCTTGTGTCTAGTGTTCCCCCTGAATACTGTTCTGCATCTTGCTTTTCCACTTAACAGTGTATACTGAAGATCATTCCATGTCAGCACATAGGTGCTTCTGTACTCTTTTACAGCTGCGTAGTAGTACTCCATTGTGAGGGTGTATGAGAATTTATTCAACCTATCTCATACTGAGGGACATTTAGGAGGTGCCATTTTTTAACTATTACAAATATTGTGATAACCTTTCACAAATGTGAATTTGCATGAGTGAATATATATTTGAAAGATAAAGTTGTAGCAGTGAATTTCTTGGTCACAAGGGCATTTGTACTTTTGATGGATGGTGCCAAATTGCCTGCCTAGAACTGAACCCACCTGGACCCCAACAGCAGCATATATAGGGTGCTTGCTCCCCACACTCTCACCACAAGATGCATTATGCTGCTTTTTATTTTTTTTCCCCAAATCTGAAAGGTGAAAAATGGTCTCTTAATGTAGCTTGAATTTACATTCCTCTTACTATGAGTGAAGTCAAGCTTCTTATGTTTAAGGGCCTTTTCAGTTTATTTTCCTGTAAACTGCCTGTTCATATTTTGCCCATTTTTCTATTAGTTGTTGGTCTTTTTCATATTAATTTGTAGGAACTCTTGATATATTGGGGAGATTAGCTCATCATGATATGAGTTACAAATATTTTTCCATTTTTCATTTGTCTTTTGCCTTTACTTGTGTTTTTTTGTAGTTATTTGTTGATTTTTATGAAGTCATAGTATTATCAGTCTTTTCTTTCTTGGCTTTTGGATTTTGTGTCAAAATTAGTAAGTCCTTCCCCTGATTGAGTTCATTCTTCACATTTATAAAGAATGTTAAACTGACACTTTTCCTGATCTTGATGTCTGTGAGGAGCTTCTTCACTGAAAGAAGAAGGAATTTGTCGACATGGACTCTGAAGGTCCCATAGCGTAGCACTTATCTCCCTGTGCTGTGCACACAAATCACCAGGGGTCTTGTTAGATTGAAGATTCTGATGCAGCAGGTCAAGCCTGAGAGTCTGCCTTCCTCATAAGTGCTCACATGACATCCATGCTGCTAGTCCAGAGCCACACTTTGTGTAGCAGGCCGCAGAGCTCAGGGGGGGACACAGTTCCCAGGCTCCTCTCCCTCCAGGCCTGGCCTTCGCTTCTCCCTGAGGCCTGTTCCTTCCCCTATCTGTTCTCCCCACCCCACCTCTCTATTTCTAGCCCCTATCTTGGCCCTGCAATGCCCTTATTTCCCAAGACTCCCAGCCCCATTGCCCAATATCACCCAACTATTTTGTCTCTCTAGAGGAAGAGCCTAATTGACTCTTCTTGGGTTAAATGTACATCCTTGGTCCAATCAGCTGTGGCTTGGGGCAGCTGCCTGGGCCCACTTCTTCAGCAGGAAAGACAATGGCTTTACCCAGGCAGCCATTTAACATTATGCTATGAACATCAAGCTTTATTAACCCTGGCCCCTGGAGGGATGCCCGGATCAGTGGACAGGTCCCTGCCCCTCTGGAAAGGTTTGCTGGGACCCAGTCACTCTAGGGAAGGAGACCCTGCTCCCATAGACCCTCACTGGCTGACTCCAAAGAGCATGCTCAGGGTTGTCCATGAGAATCTCTCTGTGGGAAGGCACTCTCTCAGAGCATCTGGGAGAGAATCAAGTGACTACAAGTAGGTTTAGGCCACCAAAGCTCAGAGATCGTTTGACCGTGACTGCCATGCAAGGGTTTCCTTCTCTGACCACAGGGAAGCCTACCCCTGATGGGCTCAGAGGAGGGGGCACATGGTATGACGTAGGAGTCCAGCTTTTTTTTTGCAGTGGATATTCAGTTTTTCCAGCACCAATTGTTGAAAAAATGATTCTTTCTCCACTGAATTGTCTTGGCAACCTTGTTGTAATTCTATTGATCATAAATGTGAGGGTTTGTTTTTGGACTCTTTATTTGGAGTCAGTTCTATTCCATTGGCCTATATGTCTGTCCTATGCCACTATTACACTCTCTATAGCTGTAGATTTATAGTTAGTTTTAAAATTGCAAAGTATGAATCTTCCAACTTTGTTCTCCTTTTTCAAGATTGTTTTGGCTATTCTGGGTTCCTTGTATTTCCATACAAATGTTGGGACAAGCTTGTCAGTTTAGCAAAGAAACCAGCTGGGGTAGGGGTTATGCTAAATCTATTGCTTTGGGGAGTATTACCATCTTAACTATAATAAGTCTTCAAATCTGTGAACATAAGCTATCTTTCTATTTATTTAGGTCTTTAATTTCTTTTGATGAAGTTTTATAGTTTTCAGAGTGTATGTTTTACACTTCTTTTATTAAGCTTATTCCTAAGTACTTCATTCTTTTTGATACTATTGTGAATTGAATTATTAATTTCATTTTTGTTGTTCATCGCATGTGTATAGAAATACACTTGATTTTCTATACTGATGTGATATTCTGTAACCTTGCTAAACTTATTTATTAATTCTAATCATTTTTTAGTGGATTCCCTTAGGATTTTCTATATTATAATATGTCCTCTACAAATAGTTTTATTTCTTCCTTTCTAATGTGGGTGCCTTTTATATCTTTTTCTTGCTTAATTTCCCTGGCTAGAACCTACAATACAATGTTGACTATAGAGATTAGAGGAGACTTTCTAGTCTTGTTCCTAATCCTAGGGGGAAGGTGATCACTTATTCATCATTCAGTATGATGTTAGCTGTGGAGTTTTCTTAGAAAAAAGAATCTTAGAGAAGCACTTCCCACCTTGTACTGTGTACATGAATCACTGAGCTGTTAGAATGCAGAGTATCTGGGGTAGAGCATGAGATTCTGCATTTGTAATAAGCTCCCGGATGATGCGTATGCTACTAGGGACCACACTTTGAGTAGCACTCTTTGAAGTTCTTCCTTAGAACCTTCCCTTGATCAGGTAGAAGAAGTTATCTTCTGTACCTAGTTTTTTACTGTACTGAGTTTTTTTTTACTCTTTCTTTCTGTACTCTCTCCTACGATTCTGATTAGATGTATGTTAGACTTTCTCATTCTATCCTCTATCATTTTAAAACCTGTCATTTCTTCCAGCTTTTCATCTCTCTAAGTGTAATTTGGGTAATTTCTTTAGGTTCCTACTTCAGTTTATTAATACCTTCTTCAGCTCTGTCTAATCAACTATGTCTAAAATTCTATAGTTCTCCTTCAAATATACTTGGTCATTTTTTTTATAAACTCATATTTCAGGCTCTTTTCTTAAAAAGCAACTTTGAGATATAATTTACATGCCACATAATTCATCCATTTAAAGTATATAACTCAGCAGTTTTTAGTATATCCACAAATATGTGCAACCATAACCACAGTGAATTTTAAAACATTTACTTCTCTGATTTTTTACTCCTAAATATTTCCATGTTTATTGCTTAAGAACAAGAACATTCTCTTAATATAATCATGATATAGTAACTGAAATCAGGAAAATTAACAATGATGTAACAGTATTATTTAATCCAAAGTCCATATTCAACTTTTGACAGTCATCCTAATGATGTCCTTTATGGTTATTCCCCACTCCCACCCTGGTCCAGGGTCTAGTCCAGGATCATGCATCACATTTAATTGCCATGTTTCCTTTAATCTGGAACAATTCCCCAGGCTTTCCTTGTGTTTCATTATTTTGATATTTATGAAAGAGTGCAGAACAGTTTTTTGGTAGGATGTCCCCCATTTTAGGTTTGTCTGATGTTTTGCTATGAAAGGGATTGAATGGAACATTATTTCTCACAGAACTAGAGCTAGTTAGAGGGAATACTTGTTCCCAAACTGTGATGTTTGCAGGAAGAATGATGGGGTGGATCTAAGTTGCATGGCTTCTGAGTCCTTGTTAAGTCTATATCTCCTGATCAATTCCTGTTTTCTCCCCTTTTTTGTGTCTAGCACAATTACTTGAAAACCACGATGAACCTCCAGCAAGCATATAGAAAATAGGGCTTCATCGCCAGTGCCTTGAAGGACAAGACCCCCAGCAACTCCTGCGTGCTCTAGTGGAGCTGCTAAATCACCTGCCTGGAGCTACGACTACTGTGCTCCAAAACCGGGGCCCCTGCCTTCCAGGAGGAACACCCTTCAAGGGACACTCATGCTCATCTTCACGTGACACTTCCGGTTTCAATCCACTGTCTTATATGCAGGGACGGAATAAAGTAACTTCCTAGTTTGGACTTCTAGTGTTCATCCAAGAACTTAATTTTATTCCCTGTCTGGGAAGATGGCTTCCCCTATGTACAGGTGGGGTCAGAACTGAATCTCCAGTAAGAAAGTGAAAAAGTGGCTCAACCAGGCTCTTCCTGGCAAGCCTGTGTCCCACTGGTCAGCCTCTTCCCTTTCCTGAATGGACATCATGGGAGTGAGCTGGGTCTGCGAAGCCCCAGTTCTCCTTCAGACCACAGGTTCTCTCAGGGCATCCTCTCTGCATTCCTGAGCCAGTGAAGGAAGGAGGCCCTCCTTCCTCAGCAACTAGGAGAGGATCTAGATGGATATGCTGAGAGGCAGACTTTTTATCTCAAAATAAGAAGAGGCTTAAAATGAGAGCAGTCCCAGCATGAAGTCAGCAGCAGGAGCCCCTCTGGGAGTGCTGTCTGGCAAAGAGGTCACAGAACCTTCCCAGGATGAAAGGTTGAACCAGATGGTGTCTGTCAATCAAAGGCCAATCAAAGACCCTTGATTCTATTCTTCAGCCCATCAATGGTGGATGGATGGGGTTCTGAGGAAGAGGGAAAGCAGAAAGGCTTTCCTTGAGGTCTCTGCCTTCTCTCCTGTCCAGCCCCTTTCTCTTTCACTGACTGCTACGTAATGGTCCTCAAACAGCTTTCAGAGACTTCCACTAAACCAAGGCTTCCCTGAGCAGCTTTGAAGCCCCCCAACTTCATTCCCCCAGATGACAAACATGGGGACAGTCACTGACTAGCTCTACTGGTGTGCACACAGTCCTGCTGGCCAGTCTTCATGTTTCCTTTTATTGTGGCCAAATAGATAAATCTGCCCAGGTTCTGTGCACTTCAGTCTTAGGCAGAGGTTTGATTCCTTCCCTTCTTAGCTGGCCCTGCTTTTACCAGGACTTGTTTGGGGGTTTTCAGGTCTTTGGGGCATCTCAAGAAACAGGACCTAGTGAACAGGGCGCATCACCTTGCTGGGACCACAGGAAGCAGTCTCTTGAGGGATCACCAGTCCCCCTCCTTCATCCCTGTCACTGGCTGAAATGGCCTGACCCTGTTGGAAGTCCCTCGAAAGAATTCCTGGTCAGCTGGGCCTGGGACCCACTGGCCAGGGCAAGCTGAGCACGTGCGTCTCTGGCTCATTCATCCACAGGCCTCTTTGGTCAGTTCTGGCATAAACCCAAACAAGTAATAGGCATGGCCAGAGCCATGCCAATAAAACAACATAACTCAGTAGATAATCCTTCACAAAAACTCTTCACGGGAGTGGATATTTCCAACATGACAGGGAGGTAGGGGGCACCATGTCCATCCAAATGGGTCTGTTGTAGAAAATGGTTGATGTTGGGCCAATATGACTACCAGAATCACCCCTGAGGAGACTTCCAATTCTATCAAGTGACAGATACCCTGAAAACACTCCTGCTACACACAGAGATGCTGGCTAAAGTATGATATTCTACATGCAAAGCTAAATTTGCAGGAAAGAAAGGGAACTGCCAGGAGCTGGAGAACTGAAAACCCTAGTGGCCAGCATGTGAACTAGCTGTGGCTGCCAGGGATGGGGAAAAGCTGTGTGTGAGTGAATTGTTGCTCTTGAGTGTTAATGTCCATCTAAGGACAAGAAATAAGACTTTGGCCCATGGCCAATGCAAAGGAGGAAATGGGACCCCCTGTGTAAAGCTGGCACCCTGAAGGCTTCTCCTCGATGAAGAGGTGAGCTAGAAGAAGCTCCCTTGCTGGCCTGGAGAACTAGCAAGGAGACTCTGCCCCTAGAAGGGGAAGCAGGTCCTGTGAGAATCTGCACAAATGTGCAGGCTTGGGATTCAAATTTACACTGTGCCATACAGGAACTGCCAGGCTGAGGAATTAACATAAAAATTATCCCAAGTCTGAAACATTGAGGAGGATCAAATAAAAAAATCTACTGTACATGCCCTGTACCCAGCCACACAGCATTCCCACAAAGCCCGAGTAAACATGAGCACCAAAGATTAAACATGCACATACACACATGAATATGTGTGTGCACATGCATGTGCAGAAGGAACCTATCATGGTGGAGGCATAATGAAAGCAGGATCAGGATCAAACTTATAAGAACTTCAGATAGCAAATTATTGGATAAATATTATATAATATATATGTTTTAAATAAAGACAAAAGTAGGAATCAAAAATGATAAAGGCGATCAAAGTAGATCACAGATTTTTAAAAAAGAATTTCTAAGGATGAAAAAAATGTAGTTCTAAAAGTTAAAATGACAGACCAGAAACAGTAAAAGAGAGTTAGGGACCTGGAGGTTGGATCTAAAGAAGCCTCAGGGTGCCAGCTTTACACAGGGGGTCCCATTTCCTCCTTTGTATTGGCCATGGGCCAAAGTCTTATTTCTTGTCCTTAGATGGACATAGAGGGATAAAGAAATGGAAAATTGAAAGCTTGGATAGGAGACATGGTGGAGAGAATGAGAAGATCCAGTGTACATCCAGTCACAGACCCAGAGGAGATTATAGGGAGATCACTCTCTCAGAGATCCCATCCAGTCTTGTGGCTTTAAACATCATATCTATACCAACTCTTAATTTTATGTATCTAGCCTAGACTGCTCTTCTGAAATCCAAACCTATGTAGCCAACTAACTTGTCATCTCCTCTTGAATGTCTAGTAAGACATTTACAAATCAACATGTTTAAAACTAAATGCCTACCTGCTTCCCAAACATGTTCCACCCACAGTCTCCTTTATCTCAACCCAATTAATTGCTCAGGCTAAAATCCTTAGTTTTGTACTTCACTCCTCTTCCTCACACCCCTGTCAAGAAATTCAGCAGACTTTACCTTCCAATTATATTAAAAATATGACTACTAGACTGGATATTGTAACACCTCCAAACTTATGTCCTTACTTTCTCCCTTGCTCACTTATAGTCTATTTCCAGAACATTTACCTGGTTGATAATTTTGAAGTATGTTAGATCACATATGTTAGGTCACCACTACTCAAGCTTCTATGGTTCCTATTTCAGAGTGAAATCCAAGTCCTTAACACAGCTCACAGGCCCTACATGGTCTTGCCTCCTGTGACTTTATTCTCAGCTCCTCTTCTCTCCCCCTTGCTCACTCTGCTCTGGCCACACGGGCCTCTTCACTGTTTGTCAAATATGCCAGGTGGCAGTTAGGGCCTCAGGACCTTTGCACTAGCTGTTCCCACTGCCTGGAACATTCTTCCCCCAGATGTCCATATGGCTCACTCTGTCACTTCTTTCAAGCCTTTGCTTAAATGGCACCTTCTGCAGCAGGTGCTGTCATGCCTTTTCTGTAGTCCCCTGCACTCATCATTCCTGCTAATGGCCCCCTACTGAAAGCATCTGTCAAGTCTTTCTCAGCCACAGGTACTCACATGCTGCAGAGAGGGCCAGTGCCAAGGTTTTCACAACTTTAGGAGAAACCCGTGACCAGTGAGTTGGTGGGTGAACATCCCGGCCTCCTCTCCCTTGGCTGGGACAACTCCGAGGCATATTCTCCACTGTTTCCTGGGATTTCCCAGGATAAGCACAAGCTCACATATATATGAATAGAAACAAAGGAAAAATAATTGCTTAATAGTAGGAGTTAGTGGGATTGTCAAATAATATAAAATACCTAATATATTATTATTTTAAATAATACAAAACTATGATGAAAAGTATAAGGTTGAATCACTATAGCACCCAAGGTTTCTCTCTCAAGTTCTTAGATTCAAGGTCTGACAAAAATTCTGGACAGTCCTTCCTGTCTTCCATGATCTTTAATCTGAAGGGCTCAAGATACCTCTGTTGCTATGTCCTCAGGCATTATGTGCAAGTTCCAGTCCACTTGCCCTACCACCAGCTAGGAGGTGGTGTCTCCAGGGAATCTCACTCTGGACTTGAGTGTTGATTAGCAGTTGCTTTTTTCTGAGGCAAGACGACATAGCAGCAGAGTATGAGCTTTGGGTGGAGACATCTGAGTTTAAATTGGACTCCATATCATACTGGCACAGGACCTTGGGCAGATTGTCCAATTTCCCTGCCTTCCCTTCCTCATGTGAAGAACAATAATTAATGATCTTGGGTCTCTGTGTAATGAAGGAATTAATGTATGTCTGGTGTACAGCAGGGCCTTGACCATCTGAAACTGCCATGACAGTAACAATAACCAAAGATATGAATGTGCCCAGCATTTACGTCTGATAGACGATGAGCACACACACACACACCCCAATGTTAGGCTCCCTTCTATGTCCCAAAATAGATTTTTCTTTGAAAAGGCAGCATTCAGACTGGCATTACCTTTCTCAAATTAATCCTAAATGTGACAGCTCTTAGAGACCAACCCTAAAGTTGAGAGTAGAGAGAAGTAACTGCTAAAAATATACCCAGTGTCATCCTGGGCAGTGTTACTGGAGGTCAAATGTCTTGGGTCGGGATGTAGTAGTCCCACTTCACACCACGTCTGCCAGACCAGACTTGGAACTTCATGTCAGGGGTTGGAGGCAGTGTTTTAAGTGGACAGATTTCTCAGGCCAGGGAGGGTGACTGACATCTTGAGAGGCTCTCAAACTCTCAAACTGTCGAGCAAAGATCACAGAAAGTAGAGACTGAGAGGTAAATTACAAAGGGGGCAGATTATCATTTCAGGAGGAAAAAACAGGACAAGAGTTTTCCAGACCTAGAATGGGTGGTTTTGGTGCAAACTAGACTCCAGTCCCTGGAAGCTGCAAGCAGTGTCTGGGCAACAACAGGCAAGGTCCAAGTAAGAGAAATCTTCAAACCAGGAAGAAAGGACTTGAAGGCCTCTAGATTCCTTCTAAATCTAAATTCCGTGATTCTATAAAAGCAGTTACGGAAAGTCACTTAACGTATCAGTTGAGAATTACATCACATAGTAGACATGCAGAGACATTTATGAATAAAAAACCGAAAATGCCAGAAGTAATGGTTTCAGGATGAAACTAGGGATGATTTTTTCCTCTTAAATGATTTGTTT